TGTGCTATGCGGCAGGTTCTCATCAGTCATCTGTATAGTCTATAAACAGTAGTGTGTGTACATGTCAGTCCCAACCTCCCAGTTCATCCCATCCTCCCTTCACCCCTTGGTATCCATAAGCTTGTTCTCGACATTTGTGTCTTTACCTTTGCTTTTCAGGTAAGTTCGTCCTTACCATTTTTTCTAGATTCCACATGTAAGTGATATTATATGATATTTGTTTTTCTCTTTCTGACTTACCTCACTCTGTATGACAGGTTTATCCACCTCTCTGCAAATGGTGCAATTTCATTCCTTTTTTTATGGCTGAATAATATCCCATTTTATATATACAGGAGTAGAATATCTGACATAGAAAACCTTGGAAATTTAGGCTATCTGGTTGCCACACCATCGTACCAGCTCCCCTTCATTTTGACAGCTATTACAAACTGCCTACTCTCAACATGTAGACTGTTTATTCCTCCCACCCCCGGTTGGGCCACTGCTGCGGGTTACAGTGAGTTGGACATTTCACATCACCAGCAGTTGAACCCACTGGGTAGATTCCATTTCCCAATGACCCCACATGCCTCACTTCAAGTCAAGCCTTTACAATTCTTATTGTTGCTGGTAGAAGTGAAGGCTAAGATGTGATAACATCTCCCACTGCCTGTGCTCTGCGATGGGTATCACCTGCAGTGTGGAATGGCCCCTAAGATGAGAAGCAGGATTTGGGGTTGGAATAGGGGGCTGAAACTCCAACTCTCTCACTTCTTAGCTTACAGGACCCTCGGCAAGTTGTTTTCTCGGAGCCATTTATCTTTTTTTTTTTCTTCACTTATAAAATGGGAGTAAGACTATTTTACCTCCTCTAGGTCATTTTGCAAATTATATTGGAGCATTTGGGAAAAGCATCTGGCAATGCTTTTTAAAAAAAAAAAAAATCTTTCCTGGGGTTTTCCTGGTAGCTCAGTGTAAAGAATCTGCCTGCCAGTGTGAGAGACACAGGTTCGATCCCTGGTCGGGGAAGATCCCACATGCCGCGGAGCAAATAAGCCCGTGCGCCACAACTCCTGAGCCCGTGTTCGAGAGCCTGTGCTCCACCACGAGAGAGGCCACCAGTGAGAAGCCTGCACGGTGCAATAAAAAGCAGCCCCGCTCACCACAACCAGAGAAAAGCCCACGCAGCAACAAAGGCCCAGCCACGAATAATACATGAATAAAGTTATTAAAAAGAAATCTCTCCTGTGCCCAGGGGTCAACTGGGGGGAGGGTGGGGCAGCTGGATACTGATAGAGCTCGCCTCAAAGTGTAGTGTAGGACCCGAGCGTGAGCATCACCCAGGAGCTTGTTAGAAACGGAGAATCACAGGCCCCACACTGGACATGCTGAATCGGGATCTGCATCTCCACAAGGTCCTCAGTGACTCAGGGCTTGCGAGGAACCTGAAGTCCTGCTTTGTTAATAAGCTCCAGGCAAGCAATAACCGAGGTGAGGAATTGAGAAGAGGCAGGACGCTGATGACACAGCAGCAAAGACGGGTTTGCAGATTTGGGGAGCTCCTCCTGTGTTTGCTGCATCCAAAGAAGGATGACTTCTCCCTGGCATGAAAGTGAACTCTGATGAGAATGTTATCGAGCACAGAAAAGTCAAACCACTCATCTGAATAAATAAGCATCAATTTTATTGAATCATGAATAATTTAAGACTGGTACAATCATCAGCTTTATTCTCTATGACGTGGGGCATGATCTCCAGCAGATCATTGGCAAATCCAAAAACCTCATGATAAATGAAAATTAAATAGGGAGGGAGGGAGGGTGGGAGGAAGGAAACATACCGTACACAAAATACTCAATTCCTAGTTTTCTCTTTAAAAATGGCTAGAAAAAATTCATCAAAATGCAGCACTTTAATCAATTATTTACAATTTCTATGTTACAATGAAAAAATGTACATCTTATAGAACATATTTCATAAACTGCTCCACTGGAAACAACTAGATCAAAACAGCAAACCTTTCATGTCATATCCACAAAGTTGGATTATTTTTTTCTTTTGAAGGAGATTCGCCACGATCAAATCTGAATACACAGAATTTTGAAGTTTAAGCATCAACAATAAAATAAAAACTGTCCCCAAGATTACAACAAAGATCTAGGTAAGTCTCGTTCCATGTCCCACCCCTGTCCCACCCACCTCCTTAAATTAAAAGGAATTCCCATCTCATTTATGGCCTGTAAAATTCTTGGCAGTTTGGGAAGAAAACGTTTGGCTTCCATCGGTAACTCAACACAAATGTTGCATAGAATTTCATACATTTTTTCAAAATTAGCCTAACTGTAGAAAAAGGCAAAAATGGAAGCATTTCGGACAGAGCCCTAAATGAGCACAAAGTCACTTTGTCAAAGGTGAGTGACACAAAAGGAATTTCGGGACCAAAGTAGGAAATGTGCATATCAGACAACCCTGCTTCCCGAAATGTTGGGAAAGACGCCAAGTTGTGAATCGTGCAAGGCTCCGCTCCTGGCCACCACCATTCGCTTGCCAGGCAGCACCAGGGACAGAGGTCTCGGCGCTGGGCCTGGAAACGGTGGGAGGGAAGTCTGTGGGGTCAGGGAAGAAAGAAAGAGTGAAGAGGGAGTCGTCAAAAGAAATGTGTCAGAGGATATTGGCAGGTGTCTACTCACAAGGTGACTGGGAAAACTGCCCACGAGGAGGAGTAGTCCATTGTGCCTCCTCCCAAATTCACAGTATGAGCGTATAAGGTCATCGCCGGGAGACAAGACTGAGGAGGACTGCTCTTCAGGTTTACACAGAAGGCTCAGGGTGGCGGCCCCGAGGTAACAGGCTAAAATACAGGCTTTGAACGTCTGATGAAAAACAAAACAGAGGAAGACACACTCACGCACCCAGATGACTCAGGAAGGCTCAGCAGAACACAGTCTGCTAAGGTTTTTTTTAAAATTAGGATTAAAGAAAACAGCACGTCGAGAGGTTTGCCATTCACCTGTTAGTGGGATACAGTCCACTTTTCATTTTAAACAGGAAGTAAATGGTGTCATCCAATGTCACATGAGTGGTTTCAGGTCAAGCTCTTGTGGGAAGAAGAGAACAGATATTGAGAGAGGGATGTTTGGAAACAGAAATGTTAAAAAAAAAAAATGGAGTAAAAACCCTGATCATTAACAGAGATACCCCCCCCGGGGGTCTGATAAAAATAAAACAGAAACAAATGACTCAAAAAGATTGACCGCACTCTGTAGAGAAAATACTAGTACGTTGAAGACACGTACCAGCAGAGCATGACTCGGCAACATCACGTAACATTGCAGAACTTTTGCCTTTTCCTGCACGAGACGAGACTGCCGTCTAGTCAGGGTGTTAGCTGATAAGAACCTAAAAACACAAGGACTTTTTTTTTTCTCCTTTTTCATTTTCCATAGTCACGCATCCACATGCAAGAGTCTTTCAGATGAGAGAAGTCACATTAACTGAGTTCTCCGAGTGAGTCGATGACTTGTTAGCCCTGTTTGCTTGGACGTGGAAAACACAAAAACAGACCCCAGACAGGCACGACACTCAACAATGATCACGGTGAATACAAAACCAGTAAGGCATCGCTTTGGGAAGGTCAGCACCGAAGAGGTCAGGCAAGACTCATCACCGGAGGCTGCGGCTTCTGGAAGGGGGCGGCCACCCCCGCCTGTGGACTTGTGTGATGTCCCGTTGGTACTGGGGAAAGTGCAAGTGTTTTGTGAGGTGACCTCCCACCCCGGCCCTGAGGCTGGGGGCTGGCATGCTGGAGGTGTCAACATGCGTCCTGTAGCCTCGGGGACGAGGAGGAAAGGCAAGGTCCCGCTCACCCACGCGCTGAGGATGGGGTGCTGGCCCCACCTTCAAGGGCGCAGCGACCGCAGCCCCGGCAGGAGGCGGCGAGTGTGTAGAACTGTGAAGATGGACAACTGAAAATCAAAACTCAGCAGGACCAAACCAAAAGCTAACTCCTGCGGTTCTCACGTTCACCAAAGGATGGATTCTGACCACGAGGGGGAGGAGAGGGAAAAAAAAAAAAAACCTTCAAAATCAAGAGTCAGAAAGGAAGAAGTTGACCTCATTTTCAAAGGAGGTGATGGGTTCGCCAAGGTAGACCAGTTCTCACTGTACACAGTGTTAGCAGGAACAAGACCGACGCGTTTCCGTAGGACTCGGACACATGCAGCTGGGCCTTTACAGCCGCGTCCACTCGGCCGCGCACTCTCGCTGGAGGATGAACCGGAGGCTGATGGGTCTGAGAGGTGGGGGTGAACTGGGACAGGCAGGATACCTCTCGGGTAAGGAGAGCACCATTTTGAAAACAAACAGAAGAGAAAGCACGATTTGTTGTTCCTAAGGTCTCCCTGGGACGTGGCTCTGCAGTTTGCTGAGGGCGTCCAGAGCAAGGATCCCGGCGGGCACCAGGTCTCTCTGGGGCCGGCGGGGTGGAAGGGCATCGGCGGGGTGGAAGGGCAGGCATCGGTGGGGTGGGGTGGACAGGGTGGACCGGGCTGCAGGGTCTGCTCGGGAAAAGCCCTGCTGTCTGCATTTCCAACTCTGCCCCGGTCTCTTCCATCTCCGGGCAGCTCAGGGCAAGGAGGCTGCTTGGTCTCAGAGCTTCAGGTGGGTTTGTTGTTGCTGTTTTTTCACCCTCTTGTTTCAACGGTGATGGTCCTTTCCCGAGAAGTACCTTTCCGTGTCTTAGGGAGGTCACGGCAACAAGGCAGAACCGTAATGAGAACGGTAGATAGTGCAGTTTTTGCTGTGAAGGACGCAGGCCCCAGGCACCCGGCCCGGGGCGCCCACACCCAGGTCAAGGCTGGAGGACGAGGAGGGGCGTGGGGCTCCCCGCAGCGCTCACACAGCGGCCAGGGGCTGGCTCAGGAGGGCGTCTTCGGGGGGCGCGGGGGAGGCCGGTGCAGGACGAGGGGGATGGGGGCGTTTGGACAGGGAGGAGGGCAGGCTCCGGGTCCCAGCCCCCGTCACAGAGTGGACTCCAGGGATGAGTCCAGGATGTCATCGCGGTGGCTGGTGCTGTTGGAGTCGCTGTCGTAGCTCTGGGGGCTGGAGTAGTTGGCAGCCTCCTGCAGCCTCATGAGCATGTTCATCTGCGGAAAGAGCGAGGGGCATGAGCGGGCTCCCGGTCTGGGCAGAGCCGCCCACCTCCGGCCGCTCGGAAGCTCAGGCCCCCGTCTCTAGACTCACCTTGGGGCTGTGGCCCGCCGTGGAGATGGTGGACGCGAGCATGGACTCTGGGGCCAGACTTCCAGGGTTCAAATCTCGGCTCCACCACCCCCAGCTGAACGACTGGGGCACGTGACTTAACCCCTACACCTCAGTTTCTTCACTGGTCACATGTGAATAATTATACCTACTCTATCACCTTATGCTGTGGATGAAGAGATACAGAGGACAGAAAATACAAAGTCCTCTATATTTATTCTCACACTTGGGAAGAGCACCTCACCCCAGTGTATCCCTCAGCCTGGGTGAGATGCCAGCCAAGTGCCCTAGCTTCTGGAACGTGAACAGCAGCACCTCTGACCTCTAGGCCCATGGCTCCCCTCCAGTGAGCATCCAGCCCATCTGCACCCCTGGCTCTGGCCAGAGGGCTCCCTAGAGTCACCTGCACTTCCAGCTCCCATCAAGGCTCCCATGGGGAGGGGGGACAGCACTAGCTACAAGCGGAGCCTCAGAGCACACAGGTAACCTTTGGGAAATTATTTAATAGATCTCATCCATCAGTTCCTTATTTATAGACTGGAGAGAATAGCAGTGCCCATCCCATAGGGCTGAAGGAAGGAACAAATGATAGGATGTATGCTAAATCCTTAGAATAGGGTCCAGCACACAGTAACTGTGCAATAAATGTGATACATCTGCTATCACCATCATCATCGCCTGTCTTAAGAGTTCAAAGGCAGTGTTCTTGTATCTCCCCTGGTCCACAGTCTGTTGGTCATCTGTGTTGAAGTGGAAATGGGGAACTGAAAGTGACTCTTATTTACAACTATAAATTACGTGTGTATATCTTTTGATCTAGCAAAATTAGGAAGATAGCATCTCTCTGAGCTATCATCAAATTTGCTGCAGCCAGGCATGAAACCTGGCTGCCCACTGGCCAGCCGCCCCTCAGGACGCCTAGCAGAGTATGCCTGGGTGAGCCAACCACAGAAGCACCAGGGGCTGGTGTCCATCTGCACGGCCACAACCACAAAGGGGTGGGGCAGAAACATGAAGGAAACTCCTTCACAGCCAGGATTATTCATTCACTCATCAAACACCCCCTGTGTACCAACAGTATATGGTCTGGAGTGAACACAACACAGTGCTGTCCTCCTGGAGTCCTTGGTCTCAGGAGGGCAAGAGGTCAGTAAACAAGAGGGCTATTTATAGCTGAGATCTGTGGCCCTGGGCAGAGAGAACAGGACTCGGGCGAAGCACCAAGTAGCTAACTTGATGTGTAGGGGTGGCTGGGCTGGCACAGTTGACCTCTGGGGGCCAGAGGTTGCCAGGAGAATTCTATGTGACTATTCCAAGAACCCTGGGTCTTACCTAAATGCTTTCTGTGTTTAGTGACACAAATATTTCTTAAGAAAAGACAGTCCAGGAATGAGCTGACCATTCTGTCCTCTAGATACCCCAAATTCCATTTTTATGAAACTCAGAGTCTATCAGCTTGAACCCACAGAAAGAGTTCTATGACTTTCGCTTTTAATAATGGTTCCCCGGTGGCTCAGCAGTAAAGAATCTGCCTGAAGTGCAGGATACTTGCAGCAGATGCGGGTTTGATCCTGGGTTGGAAAGATCTCTTGGAGAAGGAAATAGCAACCCACTCCAGTATTCTTGCCTGGAAAATCCCAAAGATAGAGGAGCCTGGTGGGCTACATCCATGGGGTCTCTTTTCTGAGTGACTAACACAACAACATTAGCAATGGTTTTTTATAGGCTGACCCTTTCCTCTGGAAAATTACTGCTGTAAACACTGCAAATCAAGCTGGTAGTAACACAAGCCCTAAATACATTTAAAATAAAGTTCCTCTTTAAAAAGTTTCAATAGGACCGCAGCTGCATTCCGCCAGTCAGGAGTGGCAAACAACCCTAAGGCACTTATTATGATGATTATTTTTTTATCTAGCGAATCAGTTAGTCACTAGGGAGAGCACAGCAAGTCAGCTGTCTTTTAATTCTGCTGCCATCTCTTATGAATGTGTTTGTTCATTAGGTAGCGCAAGCCATGGTCTTTGCCGTGTTTTTCCTCTTGCCTAAGCTGCTAAGAGAGCTTAGGGCTAAATTTATAGAATGACTATGGTCACTTAACCATGCAAGGTTCTGGTATATGTGCTTCCACCTTCTTTTATAGGCCTTCTGATGCATTCGGTCTCATTTCACAGTATGCCTATGCATGGGTCTTAAATTGGCAGAGAGTACTAGAATTGTAGGGTTACAGCCTCTGGCCCAGATTCTTCTTAAAGGGCCTTTATTGCTTTAGCATCTGTGGAATAAAGATGCTCAGGCAGCGTTAAGGACTTAACTCATCTCACTGACCTGGGGACCCACACTCAGGCCCCCCTGGCCTTGCTTCCACGAGCTCCTCCTGTCCTCAGACCTCCCTCTGCCTGAGCCCTGGACACTGGCTCGAACTTCTGCCCTTAGTATGCTCTGCCTTGGCTCAGTCACTAGCGGGAGCGGGTAATGGGACAGGACCAGACATGGTAACGGTGAGCTCAAAGCAGAGGGCAGAGAGTGGTATAGACATTTAGCAGGTATAGACATTTAGGGGGAAAAACCAAATTCTTAACCTTTTACCTGAAAACTGTCACAGGGGTTAAAGGCACTAGTGAAAAACCAAAAACAAGGAAGAAAATATTGGCCGAAATGTCCCAAACCTTGGGATGGGTCTAACCTTGTTAAGCAAGACCAGGGCTTGGTCACCTCCAAATTTCCAGCTTCCTATATCACACTCAATACACAGTAAGTGCTCAGTGAATGCCAAGCTGCTCTGGAAGCAGAGAACTCACCAGCGGGTCTCCTTCAGCATCACTGGGGGGCATCTGCTTGCTGGTTGAGCCCTCCCGAGGCATGGAGTAGCCGTCGAAACCAACATCCTCAGGCCGGAGCTGCAGGAGAGGGGGCCACTCGTGCTGCTGTGGGCTGGCTGCCCAAGGATAGGTGTCCATCACCCACTTGGCGGGATCCTCCCAGGGGGCCCGCCTTCCATATAGCTGGAAACAGACAAAGGAAGAACAGTCAGGAGGTGGGCTGAGACCCCTCTGCAGTCCTGGTTTTGCAGCTTTCTGAAAAACTCTCCAAATCCAGCATTAGGCTTCCCCTGATGGAGTAATTCCACTTGCAGAATGCTATCCTAAGGAAATCATCCAAGGTGCTAAGACCAAAGGCGGTGTGACCCAGAGAGTAAGAACACTGGAGGCAACTCTCCCCTCTGCCACCGACTCACTGTGTCACCCTAAACTCTGAGCCTTGTGGATCCAATGTGAAAAACAGGCATCTGATTTGAAGCGTTTGCCAATTTCCATGGTATAAATACTCTCACTGTGGCCAGTCACTTATCAATGTGATGTCACTGAACGTGGAGCTGGAAAGAGGTGCTATCATCCCATTGAGGAGCCCCCCCCCCCGCCCCGCCATGGCACACAGCTGGGGGTGCTGGGCATCAGGATCAGAAGTGGAGGCCACAATGGCCCTAGCTCAATAAAACCCCATTTCCTGAAGGGAGTCTGACTCTCAGGGGCCCTCTGAAGAGGTACTGGTCACTTTCAGAACAGGACATTGTTAAAGGGGCTCCATGTGAGTCCTGGGATTGCAACCGTTTCTCCGCCCTCATGTATTTCTCAGAACTGTCCACAACAGCTGATTTCCTCTTAAAAAATAATTAACACAAAATTGTGTAAGACTAGTGCCATGCCTCCAAGCTCCTTTTCTTAAGTCAGAAATACCTAATAATACAATGCCTTCAGGGACTTCTCTGGCAATTACAAGCAATGTAGACACTTAAAAAAAACGAAATCCTAGGCTGCACCACTTTCCAAGGCTCGACTCGGCACATCATACAGACACAGGCCCTCTCTGTAGCCTTCCTCTTCAAGGCCACCCCTTCCACCATGCCTTACAGCTCACTGTGCACCAGGGATTGCGAGAAACACTTGACAAATATCTTGTTTTACCACCATGTGACTCCGAGAGAAAGTATCACTACCCGAGCAGGCTTCAGAAGGAGAGGAGGCAGAACTGGAATCCGAGTCTGTCCAAGCGTGTGAACCACTGGAGCCTGAGCAGACGTGGCAAAGTTGTGCTCAGAGCCAGGACAAGATGTGCCCACCCAGGACAGTGCCCCCTCTGTGGCTCTGGAAGGGCACCCCCTCTGTAGCGGACCATGCAGTACAAAGACCAAAGCCCTCTGGACCACAATGGCTGCAGGGGGCTCGGGAGCGGAATTACATGTGGACCGTAGCCTGTCTGTCTGTCCTTCCGAGACTCTTACAGTTGAGGCAGGGGGGAGTATGGGGAGAGAGGGCTGACAGTACAGTAGAGCTGAGCTTTGACCGCTAGAACCCTGTCTTTCCCAGATCACAGGCTAACTCGGCTGAAGGAACTGGGGTCACCTATACCAGCTCCTTCATCTACCGGATGGAAAACTTCTTGGAACTTAAAGAGAAGACCCAGTTGTAAAAGGTTTCAGAGCAGAGCTGGATTCGAAGCTAGGACCCCAGCATCCTCGTCTAAGCCTTTCCTTTCTCCACTCCTCCTGATGAACTCCACTCTGAACCACTTGGCGCTATCAACAAGACTCATGTGGCTCGGCCAAAACCAGCGCCGGGGGATGCAGGCCGGGTGTCCGCCCGACAAGGACACGTCACCTGGGCTGGACCAGCTGTCCCTCTGGCCATGTCACCGCTGCTAAGCCACCTCCGATCTCTCCGGGAAGCACCCACCCTGCCCACGCTGCAGACAGGCCCCCCACCTCTCTTCATCCACAGCCGCCTCCTCCTCCACTCCAGACACACAGCCTCCTATGAGCTCATGGCTCTCAGACACCAGGGCCCCTCCTGTCTAGCGCCCTCCAGCCCTGTCTACTGTGAAATCGTTCTTAACCTGGGGCAGTGGTGACTCTGAGGCCGGAGAATTCAGTCTGGCATTCGAAAGGCGATTCACAGTCTGTGCGGGAAGGGTTCACATGAAGGAGCATGTGCGCACACATATGGGTCAGGGAGGAGGGAAATGCAAGCCTTGGGGATTTCCAGAACTGAAGAAGTCTTGGCAGATTAGAAGTATTCCTGCAACTTTCGGCTTCTCCCTTCAAGGACTTTCCCTACAGAACTCAGCTGACTTTCCCATGCCAGATTTCACATGTGGGAGGTTGAACCAAACGTTGTTTCTGACAGCTCCTGCTTCTGTCTCCATCCTCCAGCCTGAAGAGGAGACGCTGAGAACTGCGGAATAACAGAGGCTAGAACCCACGCTCAGCAAGTTCATAGAGTCTGGCCCTGTGGCTTTTAAATTGTTGCTCTGCTCCTCTGACCCTACTACTCGGTAGTTTGAGGAACTTCATGGTTCTGGACAGCCAGGCTGAAAAAACTCTCCTGGTCCACACTTTTCAGGTTACAGTTGAGAAATTTGAGGTATAGAGGAGGGAGGTCTACCCAGGGTCTCAGAGCAGGTTGGGTCATCTGATCAACAACCACAACCCTCCCCTCTTCCAACAGGGGGACAGAGGTCTTTTGAATGACTCTGCAGGCTTTAGACACTTCGGCAAGTGTTTACATCGACAGCTCTAAAGGGGAATAGGGCTGGGGGCTAAGTCATAAGACAAAGTACTTGAGGAGCATCTCACGTCATTTGCAAGAACAAGGAATATTTTTACAAGTCTCCCCACTTGCTGCTAAGACATGTTCAAGTCCAAGTGGTGAATGGCTGGGTAAGTACCGTGGCAAGCAAAGGATGTATCACAAAGCTCCTTGGTCCCACTGCAGAGCCCTGAGGCAGCTCTGGGAAATAGCAGACAGCTGTACAGACAGACAGACAGGACATTCACTTTCCCCAAGGCAGCGAGGAGCTTGGCATGACTACTGGGTTAGGAATAGAGATCCAAAACACTGGAAACTGAAACCTCAGCCACTAACTCTGATTTATGACTCTGTGGATGTACATGTTTATCACACATGAGGGCCTCAAGGTACAGGTGCTGCAGGAACCTCCAAGCAACTGCACGCATGCATGCGTGTGCACACAAACAATTTGACTGGGAAAAAGAATTAGGAGTCAAAACCTGCAATGATATCTAGTATCCACTAGGGGTCAATGCCATATCTCCCCTGGGCGACGTTGTGCCCAGTGAGGGGCTGACTGGAAGCCCATGGTGAGACCTGATTGCGGCGGGGGCTCTGCGCCATCTACCACCAGGGGCAGTCCTGCCTAAACCCAATCTGGGGACTCCACCCCTTCTCAGCATATGACCCTGGCCAAGGGCTAGCCTGCTTTGAACCAAGGTGCCCTCACCTCGTGGCTACTCACTCACCTTGCAGGGTCAGGGAGGAGTAAATGGCCCACCGGTGCCCAGCACACAATAAGCATGGGACTCAAGGTAACAAGCAGAGTGAGGAGTTTTGAATTTTTTTAAAACAGGAGAATCTTTCTGTCAACTGAAATCTTACGTAGAACTTTCATGCTATGAAACATAATACTTGGTTCCCTGATTCACCTGAAGCATCTAAGGTATAGGGCAGGGGTCTTAGAACAGCCTGGAAAATCTTGGAAGTAACTGAGAAATTAGCTATGGGCTATGATGCTGGCTCATCCACACCCCAGCAAGTGAACTGGGGAAGGGTCAAAAACTCCCGTGAGCCTTAGTTTCCTGTCTATGAGGTGCACATTGGGTGTGAAAACTAAATGGGATCATGTCTGTCGGGTCCCTGGCACAGTGACTGGCAGGCAGTGGCCACTCAATAAATGTCAGCACACTTTCCTTCAAAACTAGAGACACAAAGAATGTCCCAAGGTTCCTCATGAATCTGCAGATTCTGTGGGGTCTCCCAGACTAAAGAACGGCATGCAGTCACAGGTTTGGGGCAGGAGGGCTCACTTTTGAGCAACGTGGTATAACGCTCACTCTGGCTGCCTCCCCTGGTTGTGCTCATGTTCCTGCAAGACTGTCCTTCAAACGACCTCAACAGCACAAGGAGCGGATGACTTCCCTCGCCTCACAGAGAATCAGTGGGTCTCCTGAGGTGGTGGCAGGTTTCTGCTCCTTGTCCTAAATGGGCTCTTTCATAGCCATTCTGCAGCCCTTTCACCTGCAGACCCTTTGATCATTGTAGGAAGGAAAACTACTGCCCCTATAACCAACTCATCAGCAACCTCTCCAGGATAGGCAGGGAAGATCTCACTGTGCTTTTATAGCTGTGCCCACAAGGCCTTCTTTGAAGCTGAGGTCCAAGCAGCAAGGCGTTAGCACCATCCAGCCTTGGTGAGGACCAACGAGGGGCCTCTAACTTAGAGCTCGGGCTGGAGCACAGACCGAGCTTCTGCCTCCTCATTAGCGCCTCTTTCGGCAGGAAACCTTTATTTTTTTCCAAGCACACTCTAGGTCCTGCACCAGAAAATATATTTGGGCAAAGAAGCAAAGGGGAGAAGTAAGTGGTGAGTCACAAATAGAAGGAAACTGCTTCTTCCTCTGGGGCAGCTCCTTCCGCTTCTTTCCAGCAGTGTGAGTTTCCCAGAGGTGCCTGCCTACTACAGTCCCTGGAAGCCCCTGATGGAAACTTAGAGAGGCTTCTGGAATGACAAAGACTCCAAGATTCCAGCAGGGGTGGGGAATACTTCCACTGGCCCCCCAAAACAGGAGTGATGGGGTGGCTGTTTGGGTTTGTGGTCCTAACAAATCCATTTGAGTAAAGAATACATGATAGTTACTTAACACAGGCCAGTGAATTTATCTACCTAGAGAGAGTCCACTGCACAGATCTGAAATCTTACTCTTTTTTCCCCATAAAATCCACTTTCAACAAAATAGAAATGCTGCCATCAATGGGAGAAATAGCTGAAGGGAATACAAACTTCTAGTTGTGAAGTAAATAAGTCTAGTCAATAATATGGTAATAACTCTGCCTAGTAACAGATGGTAATGAGATTTACCATGCTGTAATTTCATAATGCATAAAAACATCAAATCACTATATTGTATACTTGAAATGAATATGTCAATTACAATTAAAAAAAAATAAAAAATGCTGCCATTGATTAATGATCTTCAAACACTGGAAACTGATTTGGGACTGGTTAAGGGACTGCCCAATTTCTTGCTACCCTCTGCCTTAACAATCACTTGTGGCTTGAATTTGTAGCATGCATGCTCCAGGCCAATGAAATACCAGTGACCAGAGGCACACCATCTTCTTATTCGGTCTCTGGTTGCCCTGAGTGTCTCTGAAGAGACCATCAGTGCTGTTACATGTTACAGGGATACAAAGCAAATGACATTTTGCCAGGCTCAGCTAAATATACACAAATGACAAACCCCACTAAAGTGTGCGGTCACCCACATGGATGCAGGTGTGCAAGCCCTATGTGTCCCATCACACGCGTACACACGAGTGTGCACACAGCACCATCCCCCGAAATGGGCCCTTTAACTGCAGCAAGTGTCTCCCACTGCCCAGTACCAAGCAAATACAGCCCTTAGGAACCTGGCAAAGCTGGTTTCTGGATTATTCAGCCATGTATGACGCCTGCTAACTTCTCAGAGTGGTCCTAAAAGCTGACAACCTCCTCAGGCTACCTCCAGACTCAACACAACTACTGCAAGCTCCGATTTACCACTAAGCCCCCTAGCATTAACCCCTGGGCTGAGTGAGAAGTGCAGGGTCTGGGTTTACCAGCTGCAACTGGGCAGGAGGGATGCACAGTCAGGTAGGCACCAGGGTCATCTATCTATGAGGGGTCCTGGTGTCGGGCAGAGAACACCAAATCCTAGATTCTTAAAGTTTCACTTCCTGACCTTGGGGCAAGTCACTTATTCACTATGAGTCAAAATTCTGTCTTAAAAAATGGAGATTTAAAAAAAAAAAAAACTTTGCCCAAGCCCCAGGATAAATGCTGAGCCTGAACCAAATAGCAGATATGAGACTACTTAAGCAAATTGTGAAGTGCGCCATATTTCATTTCTTGTGCACTCATGACGCTGAGCACTCGCTGGCCATGATGTCGCTGAACCCTGGCAACACTCTTTGTGGCGGGGTCTGATCGCTGTGTCTTCCATGGATGAGGGCACTGTGGCACAGAGAGTTTTGCTTAGGGTCACACAGAGCTAACAGTGGCAGAGGCAGGATTTGCAGCCCAGTGCATCCTATACTGTGCTAGAGGATGGCCTCGCAGGTGAGGAGCCGCCACCTCACATCAGTCAGTTTCTGGGGCGGGGGGAGATAAAGACAAGAGTGCTGGTCACGAGAACAGTCCCTGGAACTGAGGAGGTCAGCGGGCAGTGTGGTCTCACCTGGAGTCCTTCTCTGACGGCTTCCAGGAGGTAGGGGATGATTGAGTAGTTCCACAGGTCGGTGAACCACACCCTGGAACCATCCACGTCGATGGGACACGACAGGAAGAGCCGGGGGCCTGGGGACCATAGGGAACATCAGCAAATTAAAATGCAGGGGGAGCAGGAGAAGCCAGCCCACGATCCCCTCGCAGGAGGGACCCTACATTTTCTGAGTGACAGCAGAAATGCCAACTGCCATGTGGTGGGCACCTGGGCTCTCTAACCCTACCCTGGGATCTCGTTCCTGGTGGGAATCACCCCAAGGGAAGGGGAGACTTTCTGGAGAAATACAGTCATTGTGATATTGTCTAACCTTTGAAAATGGAAGTACGGTAGATGTCCATGAGAATAGGAGTGATTAAGGAAGTGATGGCATACTCACATCTGATTATTTCACCGAGTAATTATTTTGCAGAGCAACAAAGAATACTCATGAGACAATGTGAAATGGAAAACAAAAAGAACACATTGTATGTACACTATGATTCCAACTACATAAAACATGTATGGACAAGGACAGAAAAAATAAGCTCAAATTACAAGGATTATGTCAGGATGGTGGGATGACCGGTGATTTTTTTTTTCTTTTCTCTGAAGCCTAAGCTTCAGGAATGTTAATAACATTATTCATAAAGCAAAGCCAATCCTACGGGGTAGTTTCCATCTGGGGGAGCCCCGGGGTGGGGGCCCCTCACCTAGCCTAGAAGTTTACACCAGCCTGGAGCTGGACACTTCTCTCTGCCACTCATCAGTGCAGAGAGTTGGGCGAGAGGGAAGGGTGGAGACAGTCCCAGGATGTGGGTGACTGACAGTCTGGGGTCTGTCTAGGCTGCGGCTATCCTATGGCCCCTTCTCTACCTGTGTGGCTGGTGCAGCGGCCAGCGGCCAGGGCCCAGGGCCAGCCATCTGAGGAGGCCAGGGCTCCAAGAGCAGCAGTTCCAGCCCCAGCCTGCCCGCCTGCCCTCCCCCTACCTATGGTGACGTCCGAGGAGCTGTGAGCCTCCAGGAAGCGGTTCAGGTGATGCCAGACCTTGGGAATCCAGTCGATGATTTTCACCAGCTCCATGTTCCGCATCCGCCCACTGATCTCCGTCTCCATGAGCTTCCGCCGCAGGAAGCGACCCAGGAAACCCTTCACGGGCTCCGTGTGGTTGGCGCAAAGCACCCACCTAGAAGGAGTCACAGATTTTCCACGACAAAGCCCATGGTCAACTTCATGAATCAAAGCTCATTAGAGCTGGAAGGTGAGTATGCTAATACTGAAAGCGGAAGCTCATTAGAGCTGGAAGGTGAGTATGCTAATACTGAAAGCGGACACTTCTGAACACTGCACATATACATTTTTATTTATTTTTAGTTTACTTTTTAATTGAAGGATAATTGCCTTACAAAATTTTGTTGTTTTCTGCCAACAAAACATGGGTCAGCCATAGGTATATACCCATGTCCCCTCCCTCCTATCTCCCACCCCATCCCACCCCTTGAGGTTGTCACAGAGCCCTAGTTTGAGTTCCCTTAATCATACAGAAAATTCCCACTGGCTCTCTAGTTTACATATGGTAATGTTAAGTTTCCATGTTACTCTCTTCATACCTCTCACCCTCTCTGCAGCATGTGGGATCTTAGTTCCCCGACCAGGGATTGAACCCATGTCCCTTGCATTGAAAGTACAAAATCTTAAGCCCTGGACCATCAGAGAAGTCCCCACTGTATGTATAGTAACTCATGATTCCTCACAGTAACCCTGCGCTATGGATATGATGACTACCCATTTTACAGATAGAAATTCCGAGGCACAGATGGAAAAATCTCACTTGTCTAAGATCAAACAGCTAGTCAACAATCTTAGAGCTAAGATTAGAACCAAGACAGTCCAACTCCAGAGGCGGAGCTTTGACCACTTAGCCGACTGCCTCTGGAGCTGTGCCAGGCCCAGGGCTGGGCTGTGGGGCTGTGACGAACAACAGAGACACAGTCCCTGTTCCCCAGGAGCTCACAGTCTAGCGGAGGAGGGAGATAAAAGGAAGGAGACCTGACGAAACCTGGGGAATCAGGAAAGGCTCCTCAGAGGAGGGGACGTCTGAGCTGAGACCAGAGGGGCCAAATGGAGCTGCTCCACGAAGCAAGGGGGAAGCGGAAGGAGGAGCAGGCGTGGGGTGGTGGTGGGGTGGGTGGACGCACGCTGCAGCATCGGCAGGCCTGTGAACAATAGCGTGGGGCGTCTGGGAAAACTGCCAGAGGTTCAGGGTAACCAGAGTTTAGACTTGACCTGCCAACCCAAAGGGGCTTGGCTTTCATTCTGGGGAACCATTCAAGGACTTCTTGCATTAGGGTTTAGGGTCAGGTTTGAATTCTAGAATGTTCACTCTGGCTGTCACTGATACAGGGGATGGCCTGCAGGTGGCCCAAGGTCCAGGCAGGCATCCTGGTTAGAAAATGACTAAAACAGTGTACTGGGAAATGGTGTAGCAGTGATGGGGGAAGGAGAAGGGTGGGGCGGGGGGAGGTAGAGAATGACCTTGAGGGACATTCAAGAGAAAGTATGGACGAGACCAGGGAGTCCTGGATGCAGAGATGAGCCATGATCTTAGTGACCTGAAGGAGTTTGTATTTCTTGGAAAATTACAATTCAGATCTACTTTCAACAGAGATGCCAGCAGAGTGGCCATGAAAATGATCTGGGGGAAGGAATCTCATCCTGAGGGATAGCTCTTCAACCTTACCTAAGGGTCCAGGCAAGAGAGGAGTATACGGAGCCAGCTAGGTGTCAGGGCAAAAGGTACTTTGCAATGGCAAAGGCAAGCAGCCACAGCTGAGCATAACAGACCTCCCACCCTATAGCAGTGGGGGAGCTCAGGACAGGGCTGGGGCAAAGGGTTCCCAGCAACTGAAGCTTGAAGGCCAGTGTCTCCCGCCCAGTGGAGACACTCTAAGGAGCTCTCACTGCTCTGCGTCACTTGGGACAGAGAGATGAGCCACTGGTGATGTGCAGTCCGCCTGCCTACAGCCCCTGATTAGAGCTGCCTCCCGGGTACCACTGGGTACCGCTATCCCAGGACATAGCATCCAAGAGACCCAGGCTCTGCCACTGACTGGCTGTGTGACCTCAACAAATCACCTAATCTCCCCATTTGTAAACTGAGAAGGATAAATTTAATGACTTGAGGCTTTTGTGAGAGTCAGTGAACTAAGCTGGGAAAAATGAGCATCCTTCCAGGCATGTAACAGGTACTCGAAAAGGGGCACCTTACCTGAAGTTGTGATGAAGCTGCAGGTTGGGAGTAGAAGAGGTAGCCTGGTTCATCGTGCCAATTATGTAAGGGCTGTGGGAGAAATGAAGGATGACAGAGCTGGAGAAGAGGGTCCCGGTGCACCTAAGCACACGGCTACTGGCTGCTGTCTGCCCCTCCCACAAGCCCCGCCCCACGCCACACGCATGCGCTGCTCTCCGGGGGCCGAGAGGTCCAGAGCCGCCCTTACCATCTGTGGTCCTTGCAGTTGAGCAGCCCGTTGAAGACCTCGCCCAGGGAGCTGACGTGATGCAGATTGTCCAGGATGATGACGAGAGGCATGTCCACGGCATTGTTCTCGCTGGTGCACTGGTCAGCGAGGTTGGACAGGTACTGGCGCAGTTCCTGTGGAGGCCAGGGGAGTGAGGGGGAAGGAGCCCATGAACGCCTCCCGGAAGATGCTCGTGCTCCGGGCGTCACCTGGGCCGGTACCGGCAGAGGGGCCCTTCCTGAGGCCACTCGGGGATCACGTGCTGATCGCCGAAGTGCTACAAGGCTTAAGTCTGGGTGCAGAGGAATGCAGGCTGGGGAAGTCTCAGCTCTGCCTTCTGGAATTCTCCAGGCAACAGGAAACCCAGCCAAGGGCAGGCACTGTGAGGGTGCCCAGGCATGGTTCTGTACATGATCTATCACTCTCTGGAAGGGCTGCCCCTTTCTTGATATTTCCTACTATTCCAGCCTCCCACGAAGCTCCTGAGGGCAGGTGCCTCATACTTTTTTGTACATCCACAGCATTGCCTGAGAGGTGCTTACAGGGAAGCCCTTGATGAATCAACACGGCAAAGGATGCCTCCCTGCCATGACCTGCTGATTAGTGTTGGGGCAGACAGACAATGAACAGGTGCAGGGGAGGCCATCTCTGTGCACAGGGGGTCTTGAAAGGTCTGGGTAAAAGGGTATGCTTTGGTCTTCACTGTGAAGAATGGGCAGGGCAGTGTCTGGAGCTGGGAGTAGAACACCCCAGCTCGGCTGGAGCAAGGGGCACATCAGAAAAGGAAGAAAAAGAAGAACGTGCGATGGGGAAAGGCCGAAACAGTGAGCTAAGGACCAGCTGCTGAAACCAGAACCACTATCTGATAGTATTAGTGTCACGGTGACGATGGGTGTGACCTAGCGCCAGGCATGGCTCGGGGGTCTCACACATACAAACTCCTGTGGGTGGGTGCTGTGACCATCTCCGTGTTACAGATGGGAAGCTGAGGCATGCCTCAGTCAAGTGACCCGCCTGAGACCGCACAGATGGTGGGGAGCAGGGCTGGGCCTCCCTTGTAAGTCAAAATGTGGCTTTTAGCAATAGAAGAAGCCCAGTTTTTAAAGTTACTAGCTATTTTCCCTTCTTTTAGCTCCTGAGGCTCAGAGCCCTCCCTCCCTTATTCAGGCTTACCGGGTACAGCAGGGGGCCGGCCGAGGGGAGGGAGAGTGGGTGCTGAAATCAAGGCCGGCCTGACAGCCCCCGCCATGTGCCTGGGATCCTCTCTCGCTGGTCCCAGGAGAGGGTGCCTTCCCTGAGCTTATTCTCAGAGGGTCTTGGTTCCGGGACCTCTGACCACTTCCCTTAGCTCTGCCCTTGTAGCCACGTCACTTTGGGAACTTGAGAATGGCATAGAGTCCCAGCCCCACACAACCTACTGAAACAGATCATCTGGGAATGAGGTCTGGGCCTTGCATCTTCAAGGATGCCAAGTGATTCTTAAGGTGGAAGAGTCACTTCGAATTCACCTTTGATCCCCCAGCCCCTTTGCAAAGAGGCAGTCAGTGAAATACCCAGCAACAACCACTGCACGGATAATAAACAGGGTTGAGAAGACACCTCATAACCCAGGCTGGGACTAAGGCAGACTGTCCAAGCACTTCCACTGCTCCCCAAGAGGCAGAATCCAGCCAGTCTGCTGACTCAGGTTTAAGACATTGACTTGAGCTGCTCAGTACCAAATGAGTAGCCTTACGTACGTGGCCATCGGCCTCAAGCCTCAGTTTCCTCCTCTATAAAATGGGATCATGACAACTACTTCCTTGAAGTCCTGCTGTGGGGAGACCCCTTACAGGGGCCTGTAAATGACAGCTGTTGTTCATATTGTTATTGTTGCTCCACAAAAGGAGGTTTCATTTTGGAAGAACAGGAGAATCTAGTAGGCATGTGATGAATTCTTGGTAAACTGAAATGGAAGCATCTGGGTTAAAGAACTACCAGCATTGCGCATCATACCCAACTCATAGCAGGGAAGTAAGAAATAAACTATGGGGTTGGGCAGAAAATTCATTCAGGTTTTTCCGTAAAACCCGAAATGTATGGAAAACCCATAAATTCATACAGGAAATCCGAATGAATTTTTTGGCCAATCCAATATATTGACTTACACATGGAACTCCTTGCTGGTGAGTCTGGGGTCAGAGCCTTCCTTTCTGCTAGATCCATTCTGACCTCAGGCTTTTACCACCAGCAAAGGTGAGCACTGTAGGAAACGCTGCTTTGCCATCAGGGTGGTGGTGGCCTCAGCAGTTCTGAAAGGGCCGAGCATCAGCCTCCGAACGACCTCCTCACCTTGCTGGACTTATGGTCCACGTTGAAGGTGGCGATGACCCCGTCGGTCAGCTCCCGCCCCTCCCGGAGCACCAGGTACTCTGACAGCCGGTTGGCCAGGTAGGTTTTCCCGGTGCCGCTGGGACCCGAGAGAATGATCCGCCGGTGCTCCACCAGCAGGGACACGTAGCGCTGCAGGATGGGCTTGGGGATCAGGGACTCGAACACCAGTGAGTCCAGGCTGTTTTCTGCGAGCCCTGTGTTTGAGAGAGGCAGGAAGTGTTCACAGCCTGGCAGAGAGGGTGGCTCTCCGTGCCTGCCAAAACCCCAGGCTATCCCTTCCCTGGGCAGCCCCCTCATCGGGGACCCCAGCCCACCCAGGGACACGGCAGGCTTCCTGCTCACCAGCAGCCTGTGCTCTGGCCCCTGGCTGGGCTGCTGGTTCCAGACTCAGGTTTGCCTTTCATATCTGGACCTTTGGTCCTCATCTGTCCTCTGCAGAATTCCTAAGACTCTGGGCTTGGACTGTTTGTCGGGATTTACCATTAGCGGCGGTGCTCGCTCCGATCTATTGTGAATCTCCCGTGTCTAGCTGGACCCTTGGGCTGCCTCTTCACCCTGTTTCCCCTGCATGCCAGATGCCTCAGCTGCCTACACTGAGGTACACCATGAAGGTATCAACACTTTTATTATTAAAATGAGGAAAAAGGCAAGCTGGGACCACTTGATTTGGGGATATAAATACTGGCAGACCTGCTCTGAGCCTCTCCCACAACAAGAGGAAATACATCTGTCCCCCTCCTCTCTTGGAACAACCACCACCCAGGGTTGTTGGCTTTCTAAGAGCTGTTTTCTTGATATTATTCTCAAGAGAGGATCCAGCCAAGGTTACTTGTCCAGAACCTCAGGTAATTCTATTAAAAAAGCACCTCAACTTTCAATGGCTGACTCAAAGATCTCTTTTGGTAAATGTCGCATTGCACTTGAAAATATGTGGGTTATTTTCAAATATCTTTTGATACTGATCTCTAACATAATTCTATAGGGATAAGAGAACAGACTCTGTGTGATTTCAATTCCTTTAGACCATGAAATTTTTGCACCTTGTTTTATTATGTCCCTGGATATGTTCCATTGTTTCCTGGTTTATAGTCTATAGGAATATCAGAATTTATATCCTGCTGTTGTATGAAAACTGTATAAATCTTAATTATGTTGAATTGCTTCATGGTGCTTTCAAGTCTACCATAGCCTTCTACTTTTCTGCCTATCCATTCTATTAATTTTTGAGAGTTTGATATTGAAACTCCAACTAAAAATCTCAATTTATCTGATTAAAAAATAATTGCAATATATAATAGAACTATATGTAACTTTGTTCTGTATTTTCCAAGTCTCCTGTAAATGTGTTATCATACTTTCATAATTAAGTTTTTTCAAAGTACCTCAAGAAACCAGTATATATAGGCAAAAAATAAGTTGAAAAGAACTCATTCTGTTTTATAATAGCATTTTCCATCTACATAATTAATTCACTACAAACAGACCCCCATAATGCAATTATATGCTTGTTTCCAATCCTCCTCAACCAAGGACAGCAGCTAAATGCAGTGACTATTCTAGAAATGGCTTCCCTGGTGGCCCAGTGGTAAAGAATCCATCTGCAATGCAGGAAACACAAGAGATGTGGGTTTGATCCCTGGACTGGGAAGATCCCCTGGAGAAGGAAATGGCAACCCACTCCAGTATTCCTTTTTAACTCTAGTATTCTTGCCTGGGGAAATCCCATGGATAGAGGAGCCCTACAGTCCATGGGGGTCTCAAAAAGAGTTGGACACAACTTAGCGATAAAACAAAAAACAAATCACCCTGATGAAGGATCCCAAATGACATCTGGGTACAGGTCTAAAACCTTCCTAAAACTGGTTTCAGTAGAGCCTACATTGGCTCAAAGCTTGATGCAAAGTATGGGGGAAGGGGTGGGGTCTCCTGTCTAAACTTATCAACAAACACAGGGCAGGGATTAAAACATACTGAAACCCCTCTCTCTGCTCTTCAGTGCTGTTTCAGCCTCTTGCCATAAACTCCACAGGAGTGAGTCCTTTGCAGACGAACTCACTTCTGAGCACATATAGCCACAGCCCCTGCCCCAGTACCAACGAAGTGAATCATCTACAGCTCACGATCTCTCTCCACTCAAATCCTTCGGTGGTTTTTAGTGCCATGAAGGCCTAAGTGTCAAGCACTACAGGGAAACTGATGAGTCAGGTATCACTTATAAACAAACCCGAGCTGACCCCTGGAGATGCTGAAACAAGCTCATGTGCTGACAGCAGCGCCGGCTGCAACTCCATGGTGGGGTGGCCCGTTTGGGAGGCAGATAATCCTGCCACTGTTTCTACAGAGGTTTGGTCTGATCTACGTAACAGGTCACTCCTTTTACTGGTCAGCGTTTGCAGTGTTCACCTGCTCGCTGGCGTGGACGAAAGGCAATTTAAGGTCATGGCGTATCAGGCCTTCCTTAAAGGGTTCTCGGGGTGGACAGCTGTTGTTATGGTGTGCCTGGCAGCCCTGCCTCCTCTCCTTGCAGTGGGGCTCTTCTTTCTTGAGGGGAGTTCATTCCAGCTGTCCAAGCAGGGCTGACCAGCACCTGCATCTGCCAAAGGTGGCGGTGTGTGACCAGGCTGAGCCAAGGCCTCTCCCTGTTGCCTGTGACTGATCTGGTGATGTGATGAGTATCTGATTCACAGTGGGCCAGAATCCCAGGTAGTGCTAGGAATAAGGAATCTGCCTGCCAATGCAGGAGACGTTAAGAGACGCAGTTTCAATTACTGGGTTGGGAAGATCCCCTGGAGGAGGGCATGCCTATCCAACTACAGTATTCTTGCCTGGAGAATCCCATGGATAGAGGAACCTGGTGGGTTACAGTTCATGGGATTGCAAAGAGTTGGACATGACTAAGTGACTTAGCATGCACACACGGGCCAGAATCACCCCTAAGAATTTCCTGTTACACTTGTCCTCTTTTAAAAGCTTCCTAAGCTTAGAAGGATGAGTCGGGCCATTGATCAGCCATGTGCAGAAAGCGCAATAAATAAGCAAAGCTGAGGTAAGGCTGGTCCTGACAGCATTGCTAGAGCTCCTGGTTCCAGGTGTGCTTGAAGTCCATGCCTGGATTTTTCAAGTACCTGAGCCTGTGTGTTTCCTTTTGGCTAAAGCTAGTTTTGAGTAGGTTTCTGTCACCTACAGCCCAAGGCCACAATTGCGGAATGAATGCTAACAAATAAGGCTGTGTATGTGGCTCAAACAGGAACATGATCCTTGTCACCAGAGAAGCAAGACCTTCCTTCCTGCTGATGAAGAACGCTGGGTGCTTTCGGAAAACCTCCCAACCAGGAAACAAAGTTTGCATCAAACAGCCCCCAAACTACTGTCAAGATCAATGCCTTATGGGGAAGATAGAAGATGCTGTGAAAGTTGAGCTTAGAACAGTGTTTAGCAATCTCTTCTTTAGGTGGTTCATAAAATATAGGAAAAAGGGGTTTTGCAGTCATATCCATTTGTTTAAGATTGGATCACTCAGCCTTTGTAACAGTTTAAGAGTCAGGACATTAAAGTATTACGTGGTAGTCGCTCAGTCGTGTCCAGCTCTTTATGATCCCATGGACTGTAGCCTACCAGGCTCTTCTGTCCATGGAATTTTCCAGGCAAGAATACTGGAGTGGGTAGCCATTTCCTTCTCCGGGGATCTTCTCAAGCCAGGGATAGAACCTGGGTCTCCTCCATTGCAGGTGGATTCTGTACTGTCTGAGGCACCAGGGAAGCCCCAGGACATTGAAGGACAGAGGCTTTAGAGAACCCATATGCTCCCGTTCCCCACCCCCAAACTCAGATGGGAATAATTATTTGGCTGTGACATTCCCCCCCCACCCCCCCCACCAACCAAATACTCTGTGAGTCTAAAGTTCCAGAGAATACACTTTGGCCTGAGGTGTAGCCTCTCTGGGTGATGAGGCAATCTGAGGCTTGAGCAGCATCTTGCATGGGCAGGAGCTTCAGTTTCTTCAGGCTATTCTGAGTGACTCCTCCCTGGCCCACAGTGCACCGTGGTCTCCCATCTGTAGAATGGGACCGCGTTCAAGGCTCGCCAGCAAGAGTAACTCATAGGTATCAGCGGAGCCCCATTTCAACATTAAGATTCGATTATGTCAGAGTCATAAGGCTAATGGGACCTCTTGTTATGTAATTTCAGCAATAAACTAAAATTGTTTGTTTCCAACGGTGGTTGAAATTGCTGAAGACTGTTGCTTAGGTAAAACTGTAACTGTGGTGGCAGGGGGGAAAAGATACAACCCACATTCACACACACAAATGAAATCCTGGCCACGGGTTCCTATGCCAAGTCACAGAACAAAAAGTGCAATTCTGGAAGCTCCCCTCTGCAAGGGGCCGCATTACCTTTGACCGCCACGGAGATGGTCGTGTTCTCCCCCACCAGATAGCCGCAGGGAAGCAGCTCGGGGGTCTCAGAGGTGTTGCTGCGCGTGACGTCCCCGATGCTGTATCCAAGGACACTGTCTGAATTCAGCCCCAGCTGACTCACCGGGTCGATGTGAATGATGTATTCCTGGGAAAGATCAAATGAAGACCCCGTCAAAGATGTGGGGAAGAAAATCTGTGCAAGACTCACGCTTTCATTGGGTGATTTATGATCATCTTCCCCTCTTCCCCAGCTGATGCCTGAGTTGAAACTGACTTGTGGGATGGAGGGCAGAAGAGCTGACTTTCAATGGAGGGGGCGGTGTCCTCCCATCACAGGCCCCTTAAAGCACAGATTTATGTGGTTAGGGATGGGAGGGTGTGAAGCCCTAACAAGATGGTGAACGTGTAGTCTGGATAAAGCAAGCAGGGAAGTTATGGTGCTTATCCTCTAAGTTCAGCTGAAGTTTTAAAGACATGAGGGCCTGTGAATGGTGCTGGAAAATGCATGAAAATGTACATGAAATTCATGAAAATTCTGATAAGAAGTCTCTCCACCAGCCCCTTCTTTTGGCTCAGGTCAAGGGCCATACTAAATGACAAAGGGAACAAAACTCCGGGCTGCTAAAAAAAAAAAAAAAACAGCTCTAGAGTTTTACATAAACAAACGTGTGTTTAATTTGAAAGTGTTCCAAATTAGATGAGTGACTGAGAGGTTTTAGGTCAATGACCTTGGAACAAAGTCCACGGGCTCTGTGGAAGCCAAACAACTGAGATGGAATCCTGATAACAAGCTGCTGCCTTTAATGGTCTCACTTCTCATGTGTGACACCTTCCTGGCTCTTTTCAGCCTGATCTGTGGTCATTCTAATCCAAGGATGTCCCAACTGCCCACAAACAAAGACAAGGTTCCAGCCGGGGCAGCAGGTTTGGTCTGCCCTAAGCCATTTCCACCTTTTACCCCGTCTCACTTCTGCAGACTGGTAGGCCAAGATGGGAAGCAAGCTTGGGTCCAAGCACAGAATTTTCTCTGTGTAAAGCCACTTGAGTCTAGATGCTGGGAAACTAGAGTGTACTAGGTTAAAAGTCAGATTTTGAAATCAGACCAACAACTAGACCAATATGGTCTCTGACACACGAAAAATGTGGGCTATTATTAGCACTTGGGGATGTGATGAATGAACACTTCTGGTCACCGACCTAGTTTAGGGCAATAGACCAAAAAATGTACCAAAAGCGTCTTTTAAATCACCAACACATCAAGGTTCACTTAGATGCTCATTAGTTATTTCTGCTGTGGCAAACACCCACTCCAATGATGTGATTAGAATGAACGGAAAAGTAACTGTGCCAACATCCTTGACATGAGCCATGGGTCAGAAGTCAATGTCACACATAGCACAAACCACAGACTCTGAAATGTTGGCACAGGACACTGGGCAAGGTGGATTAGATCCCCTCACCAAAATGAAGGGTGGAAATGTGGTGTCTTGGCCCGGCCCCAGAACACACGGTGTAAGACAAACCCAACAGAACATTCTAAGGTGAAGACAGAATGTGAACATTAGCAGTTCACTTTGAGAGGCTCGTGTAATGGTTCAAGGCTGGGGAAACGCCCCTCTCTGGCTGGCCAACCCCTGCAAAGGGCGGACGAGAAGAGTTGGTCTTGTCACCAGCCTGTACTTACCATCCTCCTTCTGTTCCCTTGACAACCAGTTGATAAGTCCCAGCAATGGAAAGATGTGGGAGAGGGGACACAGCCCAAGAAATGACCAGGCTCAGGAAACAAACCACCCTTTCCCTTCCCGAGGCCCAGGCCCCCGCTTGGATGGCTGTCTCCACGAACCACTTACTTTGAAGAGCCGTCTAACCACCCCATCAAGCACGTCCCACTTTGTCTTGCCACTAACTCCAATGCAGCCGATGAGGAAGAGGTGTGGTCTGGAATCCTAAGGGTGAGATGTCCACAGGTGAAAAAACAGGTGGATCCTTGCTGACTCAGGTTAGTAGAGGACTCGGATTGTCTTAGAACGCCACCAGTGGCTTGAGAGGGGCTCACAAGTCCTATTTACTTTAACACCAGATATAACTTGGACTAAATGCAACTGTCTTAAACACTTTCCTCCTCTATTGCAACCCATGGGTCAGGAAGAGAGGGTCTCCCCTCTAGAATCTAGACCCTTTTACTGAAGGTGTACCTCATATGGGTGTAGATCACATATCCCCTGTGGGGAATGCTCTCCTCTCCCCTTTCTGCCATCTCTCACTTTCCCTTTGCTTATGAACTCACCTCCTCCAGGAAGCCTTCAACGATTAACCCACCAGGTTCAGCACTCACACTGCTTCAAGAGTTCTGTACAGAACTTATATGATGATACATTTTGTACTTGTTTATTCTGAGGTATTTGTCTTCTTTGTCTATCAAGTTTGTCTCCTTGTTAGATCTTAAATTCCTTTGGGATTTTGTTTTTCTTTTCTTTTCTTCTGTTTTTTAATGATATTGATGTCTTTTCTTCTAATTAAAATTATAAACATGCTCAATTCTGAAAACCAGTAAGACTTAGAGGTTCACACAAAAAAATTATGTTTTTCTACTTCTTTTGCCTCTCTGCCCACAGAGCTCTGCATAGTAGTGGCTAACTGATCACACTGACTAAAGGAAACATTCCATTCTGTTTGGTTTTAAAATATCTGACATGCTGATAAGAAAATATAGTTAGGAGGGTAGAGAGAAGTGGGGAGAGCTGGGGGTATATTTGCCAGCTGAGTAACATGAGCAGAGAAGAAAGCACCTGTCTTGCAGTGAGATGATCTGGCCCCACCACTTGCCTTACAGCTTTAGGTAAGTGATGCTGGGGTCCTGGGTTTCTCAACTGTAAAATGGAGATGATAAAATCTGGGCAGCCAACCTCATCTGGATGTTGTGGTGATCCAGAACAACACCATTTTGGAAAGGGACAAAGTTTTATAAAGTGCTATATCTATCTGTTATGTTGATGATCATTAGAATAAAAGGCATTCACAGGTATCGTAAGTTTTAAGAATGACTTCCCCCTTGGTAATCTATCACTCTACCAGCTGAGCTCTGAAAATGGAGCTATTTACTGGATCTTTCTAAACTAGATGATGCTCAGACCCCTATAGCAGCTCCCCTCTTCAGTGAGACTAGATGGCTAGCCACACATGGAATCCTCTGGCAGAGAAGTCTGGCTAGACATGCTGTGTTCTGATGGCCACTTTGGGGTCCCAAGATCTCAGAGCCTTTAATAGCATGTTGGCTAAAATACTCAGAAATAAGAAGCAAGCAAAAACTTCAAGGCATTTACATTAGAGGCTCATGAGGCCTCTCACTTGTGTGAGAGGTGGTCATTCTCAGCATCATTTGGATTTAATCAGTAACTAAAAATCAACTTTGATTGTCAACCCCTGCCCCCCCCCCACCCTAAAACAGTCTGATGAGGATATGACCTCTGGACCCTGGAAGAGAATGTAAAACTCAGATGGCCGAGCTTCAACAAATCAGGATGCCCTACCATCTTCACTGCTAGCACCTGTGTGCTCCTGGGCTTGGCCACCTGTCTCCCAGTGTCTACGTGGTCAGCAACCTCTGATGACTGGATAAAACTGGTGCTCTTGGTCAGCCAAATTTGGTCAGCTTATTTCTGTACCTTCTGTGCTAAATGTGCTTAGCTGCCTTTGACGAGTTTTGGGAACATATTAAATTCGGAAAAGCCATTTCTGACTGATGTTAATGTTTAGTTAGATACTTGAGAGTGGGGCAACCTGGACCAATTTTAAGGACTCTTTATAGATTTTTCCAAACACGAGAGACAGGGAAGGTCCGTTTGCTCACATCTGTGGTATCAAAATGCTGCTGGGGATTTAGGGTTAGTTAGGGGAAGTGTTAGTACTATTTCTGAGTCACCCCAGGCTCCGAGATGATGGGCGTGATGATGGAATCACTACGCTAGGCAGTTCTACCTGGGGAAGGGGCAGGCTGCGCAGGGTAAGGGATCCAACTAACCTCCTTCCACTTCATTTCCTCCTGAAAGCTGACAACTATCTTAACATGCCTGCCTCCTTCCTTCCGAGCCGAGCATTCACCAGCGTCATCCAGCAACATGTCTGCGAATGGAAAACATCGACAGCCTTAGGCACATGGGACAGCAAAGCCGGCCTCCCGACACCCCCGCTGCTGGTCGGCACAGCAGCAGGACAGACCAGGTGTCGCGTGCAGGGGCAGGGGGATGGGGGTGGGGACAGGGGAGGGGCAGAATGGAGAATGCAACCACAGAAACCAACAGCAGGCCAACCAAGGAGCCAGCGGGCTGACGATGTACCCTGCCGAATGGAAGTGCGAGGGAGACTCAACCGAACGATAGCAAGAGCAGCCTCATGGATAAGAAATCAAAAGCATCAGCCTCAGTAGGCTTACAAAGAAAACCTAGATGGCGCTCGCTAATTATCCAGCCAGCCTGGAATCCAGCCCCAAGGTAGGAAGGTCATAAACCAAGCCATCATCCCAAGTGGGACCGGTTACCATGAGGGGGTGGTAGGCAGCATACAGCTTGCAGGTCAGCCTCTTAAAATGGATCAAACAGAACTCAGCATGGTGGGCGAGGGGATCCAAGCTCACGGCTTGGAGATCTCAGGGCGCTGGAGCAAAGCATGACAGCAGTCTAACGGCTGGGCTCATGTTGGCAGCAGACGCACACCTACATACACACCCACACACAGACACACACCCTAGGCGCACACACGCCTCTGCTTCTCCATGTGATCTGCTGATCTGCTCATCTCGGGGCTCCTGCTTAGAGACCAGAGGGCCAACTGTAGGCCCTGTGACACCACTCACCCAGGCTGCTGGATTCGGCGAGGTTCAGGCTGTGCTGGGAGAGCCCCAGGGACTGCCTGGGGGAGGCAGACAGGGACACCTGGGAGGGCGCCCGGCTGCAGCCACTGCCTTGAGACTCTGACTTCAGCCGGTCATTCTCAGCCTTCAGCTTCTCTATTTCACTCTGTGAAGGGGAAGGCAGAAACTCACTTACTGGGCGGATATTCTGTGACCAAGCCTTTTCTGGAGGAGGAATTTGAAAGTTCTCTGCAGGGATCAACCGTGCATCCCGGCCGAGGCAGAGTAAGTTACACCCTCAGCGACATTGTTCAACGTGGTTCCTCTGCTGTACACAGAAGGCCTCTCTGGCAGGGAAACGTTTGAGAGCTGGCCTTCTTTGACAAAGACCTCAGAATTATTTCCCAGAGTATGGGTGGTAGGTGGAAGAATTCGTATCTAAGAAGTCTGAAAACCTCTGGCTTTCTCAACCCAGGCCTTTACTGCAGGACTTGACTTCTCAGGGCCTTTGATGAGCTGGTATGCATTATGAATCTAAGAGGTGCAGACAGTGTGCAGCATCTCTCAAACAAATCTGATCAAAGAGCTTTCTTTTCACAGAGCCTCTCGTGGAATGAGTGTTCCATGGAACCTCCCTTTGGGAAACACTGCTCTTCAGTTGAGGTCCGATTTGGTAGAACCCACAGTGGGTCTTTTACCCTGTATTTGTGAAGGACCTACTGTGTGTTAAGCACTGGTGCTCACACATCCAGAGGAGGGGATGCAAAAGAGACGGCTCAGAAGACCCAGATGCCTTCAGTCTGCATCAGAAGGTGAGAGGAGCCGGGGACAGAACGACTCTACAGGGACTCAGAAGGGGGCACCACACTAATACTCCCAGCTGCAGGACTCGAAAGGGCTCAGTGGAGGAAGAGGTGTCAGGCTGAGCCTTGGGCGAAGGGGCCAACCCGGAAGTGCAGAAGGCTGTCCGGCGGGGGGCAGGAGCGTGGCGGGAACAGCTCCTCCCCTGCAGCCTGGGGCTCCGTGGCGTCCCCCGCTCTCACCTGCATCCTGTTCATGGCCTCCCGCAGCTGGTCCAGCTGGTGGGCAGAGCTGAGGGCTTCCAGGCGGATGTCGGTCAGCTTCATCTCCTTGTCTCTCAGCTCGTTTCGGAGCTGCATGACCGTCTCGGCTTCGCTGTCCATGCACTCCGAAATGCTAGGGAAAGAGGAGTGTTGCTGACCAAAGCAGCTCTGAGTGCAGCTCCTCTGAGTAGCCCCCGACCACTACTCCATCATCAGGTTTGTTCAGGAGTAATCGTGTATAAAAGGGGTGTCCCTGGTGGCTCAGACGGCAAAGGACCCTGTATATCCAACTCCCTGGTGTTTCCCGAAGTGGAAGTGCAAGTTGCTCAGTTGTGTCCGACTCTCTGCAACCCCATGGTCTACACAGTCCATGCAATTCTCCAGGCCAGAATACTGGAGTGGGTACCCTTTCCCTCCTCCAGAGGATCTTCCCAACCCAGGGATTGAACCCAGGTCTCCAGCATTGCAGGTGGATTCTTTACCAGCTAAGCCACAAGGGAAGCCCAAGAATACTGGAGTGGGTGGCCTATCCTTTCTCCAGCAGATCTTCAGAGGATACCCTTTGTGACGTATACACAGCTGGGTCCCTAAAATGACACTATATAGCCCTTGATATCAAAACCTACTCAGAGAAACAAGGTCAACTGTCTGTTTTAAAGATTAGATACTCCAGGTGCAGACAGCTGAGGGTGATTTTTATTTGCCAAAAAGGGGAAAAAACCAACAGATACAGGTGGGCGATGTTAGTCTGTCTCTGGTCATGTTCTAAAGCCCATGCCTTTAAAGGTGTTCAGAGAGAGAAACATTCTCTCATTCCCCCACCCCACACTGCTTAATAAGCCCATGGCAAGGAAGAAAAACATCTCAGGTCGTTAGCAGAGAAGACAGTATGACATGAAAACCAAAATTTTATCTGAAAATTTGATATGAAACACCATGGTGAGCCATCCTACCCTGGCTAGACACCAGATCAGGAGACCGTGGGACCCTGTGAGTCCCTCTGTTTTAAGAGAGGTCCTTCCAGGCTGGGTTCTTTATTTGATTACTGAGGTCTGTCCTTCTGCTACCTGGCAAATCAGCACAAACTGGAAGATCATAAGAGTAGTGATGAACTGCAATGTTAGAAAAGACAGTTCAATTTAGAAAAGGTTCTGTTGATTTCAATGATAGGAGCTGAAGTGCGGGGTGATCCAGAAGAGAAAGCTTGGACATTTCTTGGACCAAAAACAAAGAAAGAAAAAAAGAAGCCCAAGTTCAAAAGTCACAAAGCTGAAGCTGATTATCTCTGAATGACATGGTGAGCATGTGGTCTGCAGAAATAATCATGTAAGCCCTCTCTCTAGGACCCAAGCACTGGATGTGAGGTCAAACCAAACCTGACCTGTGAAATTGGGAGAGGGAGTGGACATGTTAATTGCCAAAGGAGACCCATGATCACTGTTAAAAGAGATGCAATTGTATCTGGGGGACAGAAAGGACTAGAAGAAAAATTTAACACCTGAACGGGCAAATCTTTTTGTGGTTGTTTTCTTGACCTGCACCCTGAACTGTTTTGAGAGGTACGAAACCACCTCCTATTTTAAAAAGTTGTCAGCAGCCAATAAAACTTCACTTCAAAATCTTCTGAGACCTCCAACAGACCCTTGAAAATCTCCTAAAAATTCCCGTTTCATATCTGTGAGAAACAGATTTGGGGCCAACAGATTTAGGACGAAGACAGATTTGGCTTAGAAAGACAGTAATGTCTTTAGAAACCATAACCTCCCTCCGCCCACTGCCACCCTCTCCCAACTCTCTGTGACTGTGGTTTGTAGGGTTTAACTATATAGGCACATATATATAATATACATATATTTTTTTTCTGGTTTGGGAGGTTTTCAAGGGGAACTTGGAAAAACTGCTTCATTCTTGAGAGAGGACTATGGTTTCCTGGTTTAAATGGAGTGTAAAGTCTGAACAAAATTCCACTGTGACACTCTGGTCTTAGCCAAACCCTGTCTCATCCAAACTCGAAGATTCCAGGTCACTGCAAAGAACAATCGGCTTTGGTTCACACTGTCTATCTGTTACATGGCAAGGCATTTTGCTCCAGTCTCCTTCACATGGTCTGTGCTTTTCCCCAGAAAGCTTTCTCAGCAAAGAGAGACAACATTTCCTTGGCACCCGCTTTGTGGAATTTATCACATGCATTACTCTGTGAAACTTGACCAAACAATGACTTTACAAAGGGAAGCAAACTAAAAGGAAGAAAGTCTGTTCCGAGTAACCCTACCAAGAGTTCAAGGACCCCCCATGAGCCCCCACTCCACTGCCCCCAAATCGGTCACTTCTCAGAAACACAGCATGGCAAGACTGCCCAGGAGGGGTGTCCTACAACTCAGAGATGATGCTGAAAACGAGCCCCAACTAAGAGTCAGTCCCTGTGCCTACTGCCCACGCCAGACTTTTCCCTGGGTTCCTGCCTGCCCTGGACTTCTGCTGTGTCATTGATAATCACTCCCTACATGACTGCTGACTCCTCTAGGACCAGGGTTCTCATCTGTTGCATCTGATCACACTGACCCCCACATATCAGCTACTGAATGCATGAACCACTGCACTGGGCATCTGCAGTGTACTATTTAATGTACTACGTATACTTCAACTTCAGAAAGAGGTGCTACAGGTATCTCTGTTTTAAGAAGAGGGAGGCTGAGGCATAAAGAAATTGACATGCCTATTAATGATGTCAGAAGCACAAAGAAACCTGGTGGGTCTGCTTAACCCCAGGGCCATGCTCCAGAACTATATCCTGCAGGCACTCAACATACACTCGTCCCCTCCATGAACCGCTTACTAAAGCAACCTGATATTAATTTTTCCTACTCTGCCCCTAACACTTAATGCCAGCATATTCCTGCTGTCTTGCCCAGGAAGCAGGGCTGGGGGCGTACCTAATTTTACACACCCCAAGTGTGGGAAACGCTGCCTTCCCACATGGCCATTCCTTCCGCCCATGTCGTAGGAACTTCTCCGAGCTCTGACACTCTGCCTTTGGTATCTTCTTTGAACGCCCTCTCATGTCTAGATCCGCACATTCTTACAAACCCTTCACGGCTGGAAAGAACCATTTGCTCTCTGCCCATCCTTTGGAAAACCAGACCCAAAGCAAACATCTCCAGTGTGTGCGGATGCTGAGGAATGTCAGGAAAGGGCTACCGAGCCAAGAGTGGGCCCCGCCCGGCCCCTCTGGGGAAAGTGGTTTGGGTTTGGAGGGAGCGCTCCGGCTCCGGGCTCTGGGAGCCCTACAGGCTGAAGGCATCGCCGCCACCCTCGTCCTGACGCGCCTGGCCGCCTGGCAGCTCTGGCCCAGTTACTCCTCCCACCTCCAAAGGGACTCCTCTCTGCCCCTGGATTTTCACTCACCTCCCTGACTGTTCTACTTTCCCCTCCTAGCGTCAAATATCAGAGAGTCCCAGAACTCAGTCCTTGTGCCTCTGCCTCTCCCCCATGTCTATGCAGTTCCTTAGAGGATCCCTCCAGTTTCCCAGCTTTTGAACCACCTGTGAGCTCATGGTACCCAAATCTCGACCTCCAGGAACTCCAGGCTGGCTGGCCTCTCCACAGGGATGTCTCCTGGGCATCTCAAACCTCACGTGGTCAAACCACAGCTCCTGGTCCCCTCCTGGCCCAGTGTGTCTCCCACCCATCCCAGAAACAACACCTCCACACCCCCAAGTCCTCAAGTTGCCAATCTAGGAATATTCAATATTTCTTCTTCTCTTCCCTCCACACGCCCCATCACCAGGTGCTATCAGCTTTCCTTTTGTAATATATCCTAAATCCACCCAGGACTCACCATTAGCATCAATTACTCATTCCACCTAATAACTGAATGCTCCCCAAACCAAAAGGGCCCCTAACTACACGGAGCTTCACCTGAAGCCTGGAAAACTGGGGCAAAGAAGAAATAACCAAGGAGATGCTCCATAACAGGTGGTGATATCTGCAATGGTGAAAAAATAAAACATGGAAGGGGACTGTTGGGAGTGCTGGCTGGTGGTGGATGTGGTTTCATGCAAGGTACCTAGGCCGGGCCTTGCTGATAGGGTACGAATGAGCAGCTTATGCCAGGCAGAGGGCACAGACAGGGCAAAGGCCCCGGGACAGTGACTGAGTGGCGAGTCCAAAGAACAGGAAACAGGCCAGAGCTCCTGGGGGTGGCGGGGGCTGGGGCGTGAGGGGACCGTGTTGTCAGCCTCTGCTGCGGTCACCCTCCTCAGACTCCACTTGTGAGGTGCTAATTCAGACGATCTCACGCTCCTGCTGAGAACTCTCCAAGGCCTACCCATCACACGGCAAATCAGATGCAAACTCACTTCACCTTCAAAGTCTCACATGTTCTAGACTGGTGCTGCCTCTTCCCACCACTTTCCACATGCCCATGATGCGGCAGCCACGCTGGCCATACCCAGCTTTCTCAGACACACCAGGCCTGGTTCCAGGTCCCCCCAGGAAAGCTGCCCTGCTCGCTGGGATGTGGAGTCAGCCTCGTGTTCACTGAGGTCCCCCATCCCCACCCCACGGGGCACACTTATTTCCCTTCTCCCCTCCCAGGTCATAAGCCCTGCTCAGTGGTCAGTGGGAAGAGGCCCGGTCCATCACGGCCGCCCGCAGGATTCCCACTCTGTCCCCTCCCTGCCTGCTGGCTGGACACACAGAGGACATAGGACAGGCGGAGCCCGGGTGCCGGCATCACTGTGGCAGGCCGCCTGCTCACGAGGGATGTCTGTGCTAGGTCTGGGGGGAAGCAAAGATCAACAGCCACGGGTGAAGCCTCTGAGCTTTGGGACTGAGTCTGTCAAAGCGTTACCAACAAGAACTAACCAGGGATCGCTCCTGGCACACAGATCTTGGCTGAAATATCACATCCTCAGAGGGGCCTTTCTGGGCCACCCAGTCTGCAGCTGCTGTCAAGGTACTCTGCATCCCAACACACTGTTTCAGTTCCCAGCATGAACCCTTAGCACTTCTAATTTATCCAACTTTATGTGTTTAACAACCATCTCTCCCCGACATATGGGGTCTACAACGGAGCGGGGACTTGACTCTTATACACTGTTGTCGCCGGAGCCAAGAATGGCGCCTCGCACAGAGTAGACCCCAGGAGTGGAATCAGCTCCACTGTGTCATGTCCCCACGGGCCCTAGTCCCCAGGGGTGGGAATCGGGTTAACATCCTCTTTGATGTGTCCAGAACCATCTCGAACAGTGTCCTGCTCACAGAGGCTGACAAATGAGAAGCCTGTATCAATCCATAACGAACAGATGAGGGGTCTCCTATTCTTCTGGTCAGGAAACAACTGGACTGGGATGCTCTGGGATGATGGCAGGTAAGCCACGGGCAGCTGTCCCTTTACTTACCTCCCAAGCACCCTGCAGGTCAGACGGGACTCGTGCTCCAGAGAACTGGTTTAACCCCTACGCCAGCCCCCAGGGTGCTGAGCAGGAGCCTCAGTCAGCCATTAGCACTCCTCTCCCTCCCGCTATTCGGGCTTACACCTTCGCCCAGAACGGATGTGCCCATTCGTGCCGTTCTTCCCAGGGCACCCCCCACAAGAGAAGAGGAGCCGCTGATTTATGTAAAATGGAGACCGTGCTTCACTGGAGGGTGGGTTCATAAATAAAAGTCAGGGCCCTAAACTCTGCCTCCTCACTCCCACTGCCTGTCTTCTGTGTGGTCTGAGCAGGCGATGGGCTAGTCCTGGCTCACCCTCTCACCTGCATTCCCTGCACCCGTCTGGTGAGCTGGACTTGGGATGCTGGTGCAGGGCGCTGTGTTCTGTGGGCGGGTGGGCTGGCCGAGTGGGCTTGGGGGTGGCCCCACAGCCCTGGCCTCCTGAGACAGGAAGGAGGCGGCCCTGCATGCACGGGATCTGACCGCCCCCCCCAACGAGAATCCAGTGATGTAGATGGAACTCATCCCACTTTCACCAGTGAGGGAACTGAGGTGTCCACCACCCCACTCCCCTGTCCAACCCTAGCTGCTGGCTGATCTGACCTCAGACGCAGTGGTCCTCTTCTCCCAGGCGCTGTCTCATCTCATGGGAACTGCCCTTGCAGCCCACTGGAGCTCTGGTTCTTCTTCCACTTCTTGTCTGGTGATACTAAAGGCTCTGATGGAACTTAGTCCTTTGGGGCAGGGGCAATCTCTCTCACTCAGTGCTGCAGGGAGTCAGCTGAACTGCCTTCTGAGCAGATACCCGGGTTTCCACCTGTCTGTCCCAAGCCATTCCTGACCAAGTTTCTTGCCTCTAGAGTCTGGGTCTCGTGTTTTGAGATGGGGCACAGGACTGTCTCCCTGCGCGCTGATGGAACAATGGTCAGTGGGTGCTCGGTGGAAACCATGGGCGCGGCGCTTAGCTGGGCAAGAGCAGATGACTCTTCCTTTCTATATAACTCGGTGTCAAGGGGAACGGCACCTAAGCCAAGGCCAAGTGAGCAATTGCCTGTCTCACTCAACCACCTATGTTCCCAAAGAGCTCTGTTTAAACTGACTCACTCACAATCAACGGGGAGAGTTCAGGGTGTTGAATCATGCTATGAAATATAGAACACTTTGGTAAAGAGAATGGTCACTGAATCACTCTATTTTTTAAACTTCTAGCTTTTGAGTGCTGATCTTAGAGAAAGAGTCAACACTAAATTTTGACTCAAGAAGAAAACGGTAATCTCTCTCAGCCCTGCCGCCCAAATGAACCAGAATTTCACCCCAAACTGTCAACACTTATACCATCATCTCCCCGACAGAGCATACTGGCTGCAGCTTTTCACATCTACCTATTTGTTCAATGCTTAGGACAGGATAAGGAGACAACCACTGTCTCAATTTGAGAGAGAAATGGAAACAGAGGTTAAGCCACTTGCCCAAGACCAGCCAGCTAATTATCCACACCGATGCCAGCAGAACAAAAAACTTTACAGTCCTGAAACATGGACAGAACATGCAGAGTCCCGGGAATGCAAGACACAAAGGACCCCAAGGAGCAGACAGTGTAACAGGACTCCTAGCCATTCCTGTTAGAGAGAGCTCTCAGGGGCCAAAGATGACCAAAGCGACCCCAGCAGACAGACTTACAGAGAATTGGAGTGAGAGTTTCGCAGCAGGGGAGTGGAGCCCGTGGATCCGTTGTGCGGTAGCTTCGGTGAGGAAGGCAGAGAAGAATCCGTCATCTCCTCAATGTCTGAATGGGAGGACGCCGACTTGGGGGACTTCTTCTTCCCGAAGGCTTGCTTGAAGGAGCTGCGTAACTGAATACACAAGACTGTCAGGCTGGCAGAGGCCGGGCCCACCCCTCAGGCCTCAGCAAACAGACATGCAGAAGAGCGTATTACTTCTCCCGAGCTCTCCTCCCGGCCATGGAAAAGGTCCCCCACAGCTCTCTTGCATCAGTGCATTAAGGGAAGAAGAGTTATCTGGTGTTGACAGCTCAGGGGACTGGTCCTGTGGGTGACATTCCATGCCTACTCTTGGGTCAAGACTAGATGCCAACAGCAAGACAGAGTCTGGCTCAGCAGATGATGTGGGGAGGAGGGGGTGACACAGCAACAAAGCGGGGTGCTCAGACACGGTGACGGATGCGGGTGAGGTTAGTCATATCAATGGATGGGTTAGCTTGGTATCTGATATTCACGTGGGTCTTGCTTACCTCATTGACCTGCCAGAGAAAACGCAAGCAAAAATGGGGGAGGGGGAGGAAAAAAGACACATTTTTAACAGAGAAAGCCAGAGACAGGGAAAGCTTCGGACTTTTCAGACATGGCATGGCTCATAATAAACACCATACAGAGAGGAAGTGTCTGGTAGGACCAGGGATCTTTCAAAGCTTAAGAGCTATCTTCTCCAATTATGGAAGGAGAGGAAGAGTGTGTCTGGAGGTACCTACAATCTAAGCTCTACAGGCTGCTTTGTTTGGCTGAAATGACTGCCCCATCTTCCTACACTCCTCATTCTTTCCCGCCTCTAATCAGTCATCTGTAAGTCTTTTTAAGCGTGATTTCTTTTCTCAGCAAGGGTTGCTTCATTGCTGCACCAGTCCTAACAGGGCTGCATAGCTCTCTGACATATGTACTTAGGAGCTCCTACTGTCCTTCTGAACACATAATAAAAGCAGAAAATTAGCCATGTTGCTCCTTGCTCCAAAAAAAAATGATATTTTAAAGAAATGTATTAACCATATTGGGAAAAAGGAACTGGTTTATCACAAATTCCCCAAACCAAGAAATGGATCTGAAAATTCTGAGAACATAAAAAAATTAAAAGTATGATGTTTTCTCTGAAAGCCATGATAAGCACATACTTTTCTATGACCAAAAAATACAGCTTCATCTTGAAAACATTCTTTTAGAAAGTAAATTTCTTCTTCTAAAGTTTTTTTTTTTCCTTCTGAAAACACATTCTGGGAGTTTCCATAACCACTGTGAAATTCAGAAAACGTGCCATTCAGAAATAATGAGAATTTTCTCCTATCAAAGTTTCACCCATAACAAACTGCACATCCAGCTTGTGGTCAAGTCTGGATCCCATTTCTCTCCCATTTCCTACTTCCAGTCATATTTCCAAAGAGTAGTCAGAGAAACAGAAGGATCTGTACACATCAACCTAAATCCTTGCTCAACCTCTGCTAAGATGCCAGGTAAAGGAGGAACTTACACAGATCAGACGGCACTGACCTTTGGGATTAACTGAGGATGCTAATTGTCCATCCTCCCCAGTGGCGCTGATAACCAAAAGCTGTCTTAAAAACATTTCCTTAATTAAGGAAAAAGGACAGTCACATTTTTTCATAGAAAATAATTCTCTCATCATTTTGATAATCAAATCAGACCATATTTAGCAACAGCATATTAGAAACAAAATATGAGTTCATTTTACTTAAGACACAGCAAATGAGTCGACTAAAAGTCATCAGTAACGTAAGGAAAGATTTAATCAGAAAGATGAGAGAATTACCCAGAACTGGCCTTTCCGCTTGCCTCCAATGCAAGTCATCGATAATCAAAATGACTAAATCCTCAACTCCTCCATCACTGGACCTCGCCACCCATCCAAGATAACACAAAATGAATGAGAAGTGTATGGAATGAATGCAGACACTGAAGCTACTATGAACACATGATGCTGCAAGCATTGACAAATGGGGCTGTGTGAGTCCTGGCCAAGTTCAGATCAACCCGGGGTGTCCCTGCACTAAAGCTCGGAGCAGTGAATGTCATTCAGAACTCCACAGCCGGTGAGCAGAACTGAAAATTGAGTGGGGAGAGGACAGTGGCATTTTCCATGAAGAATGGGAAAAATTGTTCAAGAGGCCATTGTACAGAAAGTCGAGTAGCTGGAGGGAATTAGGAAACATGGAGAAACACTATGGGAGACTGCCTCTATTAAATTTGCTGTTTTGAGTTATGACGTCTACCCCCCTCCCAATTCAGAACCACTCACTAATCTCTGACAACCACTTCATGAAACTTTTACTTTCAGCAAAGGGTCAAAGATATTTTAAAGACAAGGGTGGGTGATTTAATGCTCTCATAGGCAATCATGTAAATAAGTAGATAAGGACTATGGTTAACCATGGGATGGCCAGTGATACACACTCCAAAAAATACTTTGGAACTAAGGGAAAAAAACCACTTAATAGTAACCCTGGTCTAGTATCTGGAACTTTGTGGCCAGCCTATGATGAGGAAGAAATGACGCACATGAAAGACGCGTGCTTTACATAAAGTCTCGTGAGACAGTAAAACTACAAGGAGGTGGTTATTTCATAAATCCTAGTGCTTGGCTGAGCACAATACTGACTTTAGCAGAAACCTGTCCACAAGCCCCTTCACTGGATTGACTCCCAAGGGTCTACGTTGTGAAGTTAAGAGCTTCATATCCAGGGCACATTGTTTCCGAGATCAACCCTGTTATTCAGCACAAGAGTCTTTGGAGGCACACTCACCCAGTTCTTCCTCTTCTTCTTCTTTGAGTCGGTCTCTATGTTGCTGCCCACGCTGGAGTGGCTGGTGGCACTGTTGATGCTCGAGACGCTGTCGGACGAGTGCTGCCTGCGGATGCGGAGGTCTGTGGCCTGGGAGGTTCCGTTCCCTGGAGACCCAAGATCCAAGACGTCAGCAGTTGCTGACTTTGCCCCTTCCTCTGCCCCAGGATTTACACCCACATTCGCACACCCAAGGACTAGTAGCTATCTCCCATTAGACCTCACCTGCTGGTCCTGGATGCTGCCTTTAAGGTCCTTGAGTAGGTGGGGGCCATGCCCTTTTTGATTAATTAAAGGAGAACTCTTCTCATTGTGCCCAACAGAAGTCAGGGGAGGGCTCAGGGAGAACTCCCCCACACCTGCTCTCTTGAGCTTTAGACACGACAATGTGTCCCCGAGTTGCGGCAATAGTCAATTGTGTTGTGAGCGCCCCCTCCTTGCCTCTCTCTGCTCCTGCTGCACCAGCTTTTTCATGCCCTTGGATGGACATGCTGTGCCCATATCCTTTCACCGCCTGACAGCTACTATTCTTTCTTCCTGGGATGCTCTTCTCCCTCTGTTCTGCCTGGCCAGCTCTTATCAATCCTTCTCATGTCACCCCTAGCCTCACTTTTCCAGGAGGCTTGCCATCTGAGCTGACAGTGGTACCAGAAATAACATCGCCCCCAAAAGCAGTGAGACCAAAATAAACCTTGCAGACCATGTTCCCTACAAGCACAAGACACCAACAGCCCTGTCTTTAGAGCACTGGTTTCAGGGGCAGACGTGGGTTCTCGTCCCATTTCTGTTATATTCAGTGACCTAAGGATGCGAACATCAGCTGTAAAACTCAATATTCCCCTCAGTACAATGTGGAGGGAGGAACAGCATTGCCCCCATAAGCATGTTGTCTACAGAAAACGGGTTAATGAAATCATTCAAACACTGAGCATAGTGCTTAGAACACAGTGAATGTTCTATAAGTGTCAGTTCTATCACCTATCAGTACTCATCATTTCATTTTTGATGTAACTCCTCATGCCCACATTTTTCCCCACTACCCCAAGCAACATACGTAAGGACAAAGCAATTCCTTCCAAAATGTTTCCCGGGACAAATGAGGGATGAACCCATTTCAGGCGGCCCCACATCAGTAGGCACAGTACCAAAGAATAGCAAGGAGAGATAAGAAAGCTTTCTTAAGTGAACAATGCAAAGAAATAGAGGAAAACAGTAGGATGGGAAAGACTAGAGATCTCTTCAAGAAAATTAGAGATACCAAGGGAACATTTATGCAAAGATGGGCACAATAAAGGACAGCAATGACATGGACCTAACAGAAGTAGGAGATATTAAGAACAGGTAGCAAGACTATACAGAACTACACAAAAAAGATCTTCATGACCCAGATAACCATGATGGTGTGATCAGTCACATAGAGCCAGACATTCTGGAATGTGAAGTCAAGTGGGCCATAGGAAGCATCACTACAAGCAAAGCAAGTGGAGGTGATGAAATTCCAGCTGAGTTATTGCAAATTCTAAAAGATGATGATGTGAAAGTGCAGCACTCAATATGCCAGAAAATTTGGAAAACTCAGCAGTGGCCACAGGACTGGAAAAGTTCGTTTTCATTCCAATCCCAAAGAAAGGCGATGCCAAAGAATGCTCAAACTATCGCACAATTGAGCTCATTTCACATGCTAGCAAAGTAATGCTCAAAATCTTTCAAGCTAGGCTTCAACAGTATGTGAACCAAGAACTTCCAGATGTACAAGCTGGATTTAGGAAAGGCAGAGGAATCAGAGATCAAATTGCCAACATCCGCTGGATCATAGAAAAAGCAAGAGAATTCCAGAAAAACATCTACTTTTGCTTCATTGACTGTGCTAAAGTCTTTGACTGTGTAGATCACAACAAACTGCAGAAAACTGTTAAACAGATGAGAATACCAGACCACCTTACCTGCCTCCTGAGAAATCTGTATGCAGATCAAGAAGCAACAGTTAGAATAGGACATGGAACAACAGACTGATTCAAAATTGGGAAAGCAGTATGTGAAGGCTGTATATTGTCACCCTGCTTATTTAACTTATGTGCAGAATACATCAGGCAAAATGCAGGGCTAGATGAAGCACAAGCTGGAATTAAGATTGCTAGGAGAAATATCAATAATCTCAGATATGCAGATGACACCACCCTTATGGCAGAAAGTGAAGAGGAACTGAAGAGCCTCTTGATGAAAGTGAAAGAAGAGAGTGAAAAAGCTGACTTAAAACTCAACATAAAAAAACGAAGACCATGGCATCTGGTCCCATCATGTCATGGTAAATAGATGGGAAAACAATGGAAACAGTGACAGACTTTATTTTCTTGATCTCCAAAATCACTGCAGACGGTGACTGCAGTCAAGAAATTAAAAGACACTTGCTCCTTGGAAGAAAAGCAATGACAAACCTAGACAGTGTATTAAAAAGCAGAGCCATTACTTTGCTGACAAAGGTCCATATAATCAAAGTTATGGTTTTTCCAGTAGTCATGTATAGATGTGAGAGCTGGACAATAAAAAAAGGTTGAGTGCCAAAGAACTAATGACTGTGGTGCTAGAGAAGACTCTTGAGATTCCCTTGGACAGCAAGGAGATCAAACCAGTCAATCCTAAAGAGAATTAGTCCTGAATATTCATTGGAAGGACTGATGCTGAAGCTCTAATCCTTTGGCCACCTGATGCAAAGAGCCAACTCATTGGAAAAGACCCTGATGCTGGGGAAGATTGAAGGCAGGAGGAGAAGGGGACTAAAGAGGATGAGATGGTTGGATGGCATCACTGACTCAATGGACGGGAGTTTGAGTAAACTCCGGGAGATGGTAAATAAAGGACAGGGAAGCCTGGCGTGCTGCAGTCCATGGGGTCGCAAAGAGTCGGACAGGACTGAGCAACTGAACAACAACATGTCAGTCTGTAAATATCAAAGCATTAGTGAAATTGAGGCTGTGAAATACTCTGATACTTGGTCAATAGAGACACATCCTCTTCCACTTTGAGATACATCAGAGAAGAGGACAAGCCAGAACAGCTCTCTTCCTAGAAGCCGTAATTAACTGGATGAAGTGTCTTCTAAGACCTGTCCAACTGACACAGACTCCTGCCCTCTGGAAGGGCAGTTGCATCATATACTGTCAGGGGAGGGCTCCTAAGGGCAGGCGGGTCTCCAGACTGAAAGCTGTGTCTCTTGCTTACCTTTGCAGTTGAGCTCCGGGGTGTTAATTACTCCATTAATGGCAGCCTGGGCAGCTGCGTTCTGTTTCTTCAGCAACTCAATGGTTTTTCTTAACTCATTCAGTTCTGAATCCTGAGGAGCAGAAAAAAAGACCGGTCATCCCCAAATCATTCTGTACTGAGTTCCACTGAAGTCAACTTAGCATCGGCTTAGAGGAGAGGAGAGAATGAAGGAGCCACAGGAAACCTTTGTCACAAACATTAGCCTGGATCAGTTTTCAACAGGCGTTTGTGAGCACAGGAAAGCCAAGAGGACTAAGATCTGTCGCCAGTGCAGTTACCACCACTCACTCCAAGTCATATTTTCACTCAATAAATTCTGTTCCTTCAGATCCAATTCCAATAGTCCAATAAGCACACTACAATCTATACAATTTCCTGGAATAAAACAGGATCATGTATTTAGGTTTCTTAATTCTAAGCAGGGAGGGAAGAAGTTCCTGTTTTACCTTCTGCTCAGCCGTCATGGTCAAGCTCTGGAGCCTGATGGTCATGTTTCCAAGACTCTGCTCAAAGGCTGCCACGAGGTGAGCCTAGACGGGAAAGACACATTTCCCTGCAGTTACATTATCTTGCAAGGTTTGCTGTTGCTGTTTAGTTGCTAGGTCGTGTCCAGCTCTTTGCGACCCCATGGACTATAGCCTGTCAGGCTCCTCTGTCTATGGGCTTTTTCCAGGCAAGAATACTGGAGCAAGTTGCCATTTCCTCCTCCAAGCGGTCTTCCTGACCCAGGGATCAAACCCATGTCTCCTGTTTGGCAGGCTGATTCTTTACCACTGAGCCAGCTGGGAAACCCACCTTGCAAGGCAGGCGTGCCTAAAGGGTGCTAGGTCTTAAAGACAGAAATCTTAATGGGGGCCACGTGGATGAGCCCCTGTAGACTTCTTTAGCCTCTTGAGCCCCTACTCCCCACCACTCTCTGGGATCTGGTTACTCTAGTCTTTCATGTTCTCCAATGTCCCTTGCCTCTTCCCACCTCGGGGCCTTTCTGCGTATTTTCCCCTCTGCCCGGAATGCCCTTTCCCTCGCTGCCTTCCCAGCTGATTTTTACACATACTTCTCGAGAGAGAGCTCAGCACATGTCTTCATGAGATCCCCAGACTGGGCTACTTCCCTCTGATTCACTCACACAAGCAACTGGTCTGCTGTGTACTTTGTAGGATCACAGTCAACGCGCGCGCGCGCACACACACACACACTTGTGATCACTAATTTACGCCAGTCTCTACTACACTGCAGGATACCTTTCATTCCCCAGGCACTAGGCTTGCAGTAGAGGCTCATGTTGGGCATGTTTACAGAATGGACGAACAAAGTGATTGGCAGATGTTGCCTGTTATAATCCTGGTTAATAAAAAGCCACCAAAAGGCCCATCTGCTACCACCTCAGAGAACGTTCCCCCTGGAGTGAGAACCTTCCCTGGGGCTCCCCTGCACTTTTATATATCTCTGTAGAAGACAGCATCAGACACGCCATTATCCTATATTACAAAGACAGCTTTAAAAATGCTGCCAATTATAGCTGAAATATGCATCCAATTTTCAGAGATGTTAGAAACACGAAAAAAAATCTGTATCTTAGAATTAAGAGATGTGATGTTTCCTTGTCTGCCCCTTTCTCTGCAACCCTCTTTAAGGGTAAGATGCAACTCTGTGTCCCAACACTAAACCTTCTTCCACAGAGCAGTAGGTGAGAGGGCAGTGAGTTGACTGAGGATCCTGATAATATTGTTAAAACCAAGGATAAAGAATGGCTAAGTCATCTAACCCTGCAGGCCTCAGTTTCTTCATCTATAAAATGTGAGCCGTATCTATGTTCCTCCCAGGGTGATTCTGAGCACGGAGTGAAACCATGTGGTTGAAAATGATCTGTAAGCTGTTAAGGAATTGCAAAACGCAGGCATGATTAGAGACTGCAGGGAACAAAGGGGTTTGGGAACAGATATTCTGAGAACACAGGTGTAGAGAGATGAAGAAAACGTTCAGAGTGGCGTGGGTAGATATACAGAAGGTCACAGGAGGAACCAGAAGGACTGGAAGGTACCTGAGTCTTGGGAGAAGTGAGACCTGATGGTTCTGGAAAATTCTCGAGACAAACATGATAGACGCATAGAGTGAAGAAGAAAAGGGTGGGAGAGGAGTCACTACCCTGGGCGATAAGGAGGGTCAGGGTCAGCAGACATTTCTGATTAGGGAGGAGAAAGTTGAGGGGTGAGTGGGAGGCCTCTGTTACTGGACTTCATGAAACAGGGAAACTCTAGGATCAACTGTTGAGCCTCTTTCCCACTGGCCGTAGGAGCTGGCAGGGGACAGGGGCACTTGTGATACAAATGTTAAATGGACTGGCCAGCTTCTTTCTGATTGCATGCCCTCTCTTATGAAAAACTGAGAAAATGCCTTTGCATTTTAAAATAAAGTGATATGCTTTAGTCTGCCCTGGAGAATGTGGCAGGACAAAAGCCAACCAAATTGGAGACAGTCACATAGTAAATGAAACCAGGGCATGGAGGTGAACAAGCTGACTGCTACCCTGGTACTTCAAAGGAATGACAAGATCAAATTTAAATGACTGAATTTCCATTTACTTCTACTCCTCGTTTCATTGCTACCCAAGATTCTATTTGTGGGCATGAAAACTTTCTATTCATTTAAAAACAAAAGCAAAACCCTGACCCCACAAAGACTCCTTATCAAGAGAATGTTTTTGCAAACTCAAGAAGAAACCACATGTGCTCCAAAGAACCAGAGGATCGCATTTTGCTGGTGACCAAAAGGACTGAGTCATGATCTCAATTATGAAAATACGGGCCAAGAGGCTGGTTCAGAGTCGCACAACAGCCTTCTCAGCAAGCAGCATTCTCACATTCCCAGGGAAAACAAATACAAGTGGTATAAAAACACCCAGAGAAGGTGGCTTTGAGTAGTTTGTCTAGAAAAAACAAACATGGCTTGGCCTGCAAGAAAGATGGCAGACAGTAAAACACGTTAGCACTGCCGGTGGTGCATGGCAAGACTAAATATTTACTTTAAAACAATATGGGATTCAGTGGCTTTTATGAAGAGAAAAACGGATTTGTGAAATAATAGTAATGTGAGGGATCTCACTCTTACTCTTCTGGACCAGAGAGGAGAGTTCCAAATGGCCCAATGAAAGGTCCCTTGGGGGCAGCATGAGGTCACTGGAGGAATTAATCAAGTTCATTGATAAATAAATGACTATTTTTCAATTAGTAAGGGGCAGTCATTGGTAGCTATAGTTCTTAATAAGGGCAGTGGTTTCAAATCACCTGCTGTCAAACCTCATGTGTTTCAAGGAGACCCCTGGCTCACTGGTTCTGGACAAAGGCATGCATCTAATTAATGAGATGAAGACTCTAAACCTCAAATTTCAGATCTAACATCAATTTCTGATTTTTTTTTTTTGTATTTATTTATTTATTTGGCTTCACCAGGTCTTAGTTGCAGCATGCAAGATCTAGTTTGGTTTCCTGACTGGGGGTTGAACCTGGGCCACCTGCATTGGGAACATGAAGGCTTAGCCACTGGACCACCAGGGAAGTTCCAAATTTCTGATCTTTTAGGATACCGTAATAGAGAAAAAAGTTAAGAAAATAAAGAAGGATTAAAAACACACACAGTAGCCTAGTATACTAGGGTTTTGGGGGGAAAAAAAAGCATATTTCCAGAAACGTAAGAGAGCGCAGGAGAATGAATAGTTCAGAGCAGTTAGCAATTACTGAACCTATAATTAAGGTCAAGCACTCTGCTAGGTACTTCATGTGCAGACTTTGAAATGAAATGGAAAGTTTCCTCGAGTAGACTCAGGCTCAAACTGGGAATTACATGGGCAAAAGCTCCATATATTTACTAATTATGGTCCTGGTCCAAGGAAGACAAGCTTTTTGCTTTTCATTTTAACAGCATTCTGGGATCACGCAGGTGGCTTTCTGACAGGCTCACACTCACGATCTATGGTCCCAGGCTGGCTGTGCACTCCCAAGCAGGAAGCCCTGCCTCTGAGGCATCTCAGCACCTTCCAAAACCTCAGGCTCTGCCTCTGAGCCGCAGCCCTCAGACTCACGGCCCTGCGGCAGGGTACCTTTACTGACTGGTCTGATGTGGTAGGAGATCTCTGCCTCCACTCTGACCCCGCAAATCCTGTAACCACACCACAGTTAGGAAGTTAACTTAACCACCTAACAGATGCATGTGCTCATGATGTGGCCTGACCCTTGCTTTTCTTCGGTGCTGCCCTCATTCCCACTTCCTTCTCCCTTCCACCCCAGCCCTCTTCCCCCACATCCACACCATAGATTCTAATCACACTGAGCTTCTTACAGGTTCCAAATGTGGCAACATCTTCACCTTGGGCTTTTGCACAAATTACTCTCTTTGGTTAGAATGCTGTCATTCCCACATCCTCCCCTACCTAGCAATCACAAGATGTAACCTCCTCTAGGAAGCCTTTCCTGACTTCTCCCAGCCCCATCAAAACTGATCTAGGTGTTCCTCTTAGGTATTCCCACAACCACCCCCCTTTATTGCTATCATAACAGCTATCATGTCATAGCAGAACTGTTTGTCTCTCTGCTGTACCGCAGAAAGAACACTAAGATGACAGTGATTATGTTTGCCTTGCTGTTGAACCCACAGTGCCCGGGGCATAGTTGGCACTTAAACAGTTGCTGAATTGAATGCCGGTTGGCAGTGCCTCCTGAACACGTAACTGTGTATATTATATAATAATTACAGAGCAGTCAGCCATTTATTGTGGAGTCTTAGATTTTCTTCTTCTTTTTTTTTTTTTTAAGATGAAAATTTCCAGAAAGAGAAAGGAAAATAAACTGTTCTGAGCATTTAATCTATTCCAGGTACTGATCACATGACGCCCCTGAGAGCTAAGTGTTATCATCTCCCAGCGCACTGAGGAGCACGCTCAGAAGCGAAAGACTCTCTCCAAAGCACAGAGCCAGTAAGTGTCAGAGCTGACGCTCACACCCTCGATACCAAAACCTGTGTCTCTTTCGTTACACCACTCTGCCTCTATAATGCTCAGAGGCAGTGATGGCTACTGCTCTGGGTCTATACTCACATTTGCTGTCAGCTGGGTGGTCAAAGCAGAAACTTTTTCTTGGGAGGCATCCAGTTCCCGCCGTAGTTTGCGAATCTAAAGATGACAAGGGACAGACTTACTTGCTTTGGCAGTCCACTCCCAGGATGAGCTGGGAGAAAGAACTGACCATGGTGAAAGACAAAAATCCAACAAGCAAAGTGTTCCTTACCTCTGACTGGCATTTTTCCTCTGGCTGTAAAGAAAAACACAGAAGAAATTAGACCACTTGAGGAACAACTGGAGGGCCATGTTTGGACACTTGCTGCAGTCTTAAAGATTTATTAGTTTCTTTTCCGATGGACTTCTCTAAATAAACCGGTTCAATTCATGTGACCAATCAGAAAGGCCAAATATAAATAATGTATTCTTTTGAGAAATTAGGAAGAATTAGGAAATACTCTAGCTATGTTGGCTGTGAGGAGCCCCCTGCTCCCACGTGGAGATGACGACAGGGAGAAGCGGTTATGAGAAAAGGATAAGCCAGGGGAAGAGTTGTCAGATTTAGCAAATTAAAAAAGAAAGAGAAAAAGGACAGGGCACCCAGTTAGATCTTTTTTTTTCTTTTAGTTTAAGTATGTTCCATGCAACAGTGAGAACACACTTATACTAAAAAATTATTTGTTGTCTATCTGAATTTCAAATTTAATTGGGCATTCTTTATTTATGGCAACCCACTCCAGTATTCTTGCCTGGAGAATCCCATGGCTGGAGGAGCCTGGTGGGCTACAGTCCATGGGGATGCAAAGAGTCAGACACGACTGAGCGACTTCACTCACTCACTTATATTTAATCTGGCAATCCTACCTGGGAGGCAGGGAGGACAGCTCACAGGTTAATTCTGCCCCATTTTATCCCTCCCTCTCATCTCCCTAGGGCACTGAAGCAGAAACAGCAGCAGAGCAGGAAGGTTACAGAATTGAAGGGGACTGGGAGGTCCCATCAGCCAGCCTGGTGACTCCCCAGCTTATAAGAAGGAAGATGGCCTGCTGTTCCATCTGGAGGCCCTCATTACCTGTGACCCTGGGGAGTAAGGATGAAGCCTGTAGACTCTCTTACTGGAAAAACCTTCCATCTGGGGCCCTGGGTCTGTGGTGACACAGCAATCGACCAGCCAGAGACTACAAACTACTTATCTCTTCCCATAGGGGGAGCCCATGTGGGCTGGGGGGAACCTATTGCAGGGGGAACCATCCTTTCTCTCTTCTGGAGTTCCTGTAGGGGCCCATATAAGAAGAAACCTACAACCTCCAACATACACTTTCTTGGAAATGTTGGAAGTGTTCAATGGCCTTCTTTCCACACCAAACCATTTCTATCTCCTTGGGGTGGAACAGCCAGGTAGGTGAGTGAAGATCAGTAAAGATTCTATTTTGTCCTGATTCCTCTGTGTGTGTCCTAATCCAGTTTCACTAGTGGCAAACCCATTACTTTGAAAGATCAGCATCTGACTCTGGTGTCTCCTCCCCTCAGTTAGAACGCAGAGGGGTCCTGCAGTTCCCAATACCCGTCAGCTTGGACAACAGGGTAACCGGTCTGACCGCCCCTCACACCTTGCTCTCCACTTGTGACCTTGCCCCAGAAGACCCTCTCTCCAGGCTGATTCCTAACAGCAGAAACTAATTTTTAGGTACACTGTGACCAAGTTAGTTAATCCTTGCAGTAACTCCACAAAGTAGGGTGGTATTCCTTTTGAGTTTCAGAGAGGTTAGGTATCTTGCCTAAAGTCACACAGCTGAACAATTTCCTTATCTAAGACATGCTTTCAGAAGGTTGGGAGATGTCCTCACTGCTTACTCTTTCCTCTCTGATACTACTCAGCCATTCCTCTTTATCTGTCCATCTGCCTGTCCATCAATTCATCCCCACCACCACTACCTATCAAATATTTATTGATTTCCAACTACATGTCAAACACCGTTTTAGTAATCTGGGATACAGCTATGAACATGACCAAGACCCTCATATCTCATGTTGTTTACATTCTGGTAATAACAAGTAGCATTATATTAAACACTTACTATATGGCAAAGGCAGTTCCAAGCACTTGACATTTATTATTCACTGAATCCTCATAACAACCCTTTGAGAAGGTACTAATATAATTTGCCCATGGTGACAGCTGATAAGTGGTAGAACTGGGATTGGATCCAAGGTAGTCTGGCTCCAGAGCCTATGATCTTAACCAGCACATACTCCTGGTTCTTTGACTGCAGTGACATTCTCCTGGAGGCCTTCCAGAAATAAGTCCCTGGCTTCTGAGTCTGATCCAAAGGAGAAAAGTGAATGGTGATAACGTCACAGCCATCTAACATTCGGGAGGCGAGTGGGAGGTCTGTTAGCAGGCTGAGCCATCCACAGAGGACCAGCCCTACTTCTAAGCACTTCTATCAGCAGGACTAATGCTCTTTACTCAGGCTGCTCCCACTGTCTGTCCCTGGGCCCACCTGTCTCCGGGGCTTCTCAACAGCAGCCTGGAGAAAACGTGCGTTTTGTACCTTGCCCCCAGCTGCTGCCGCACTTCTGCACATCTGGGAACTCTGAGTGAAGCTCTGGGCCTCGGAGCTTCCACTGGGCCGTTCCCCTGGGAACTCAGCTGCTGCTCCCTACTGACCAAGAAAGCAAGTCTGATGCCAGATGTGCCCTCCGCAATTTTTTTCTATTCCGAGAGCTGGCCATGACCTCTCCACGGCATTTGTTTAGCGTCAGGCTGTCTTTTCTTTCCTTTGTAATTAAAATTACAGGCAAATTTCAGCCAAAATGAACATTCTTGAGTATCTAAGAATTACAGAGATTTCGAGGGGAGGGGGGAGAAAGCATGTTATCACCCAATAAGAGCCTTTAAAACACTGGAGTATTAAACAGACCCTTTGGTCTGAGCTGGTGGCAACAGAAGAGACTCCAAAGACTTCTTTCTAGACAACAAATACGAACTTGTTTATCTTAACATTTGCAAAGGCGCCTAAGCATCTGTTTCAGAATTTCATCATCACCAAGGAGTTAATAATAGATAAAGGACCACACACCACTGTTTGATGGTAGCAGTCTGGTCAGACTTGACGTTTTCCTTGGAATGAGCATCCCACTCCATTAATGAAAACATTCAAAGGTTAGACTATTTTTTTTTTAAGTCTGCAAAAGCAACTTATATTCTCAGAGAAGGCTCATGTAAAGGACAGTACATGGGAACCCTTGACTCACTGACCTCAGACCACCTGGCCTCGCTCCCTGAGGCCAAGGGTAATATGTAGAATAAGGAGGTGATTTGTCCAAAGTCATACAGTAAGGGAAAAAACTAGGAGTAGGTTTCAGGTCTCTTGCTATCCAGATAAACATGGAATTTAAAAGTATTAGTATTATTAGGTCTTTGGTAATTTGTGAATTTACATCAACTCAGAAAGGACAATTTCAAATTTCATGAAAACACCAGCTTCAAGTCCACACACCAGAACAAGAGCTACCAAAGGAGAGCCTGTGTCTGCAAGAACTCCCAGGGGTTGGCATGAATGGCACCAAGGGGAAGCAGCCGGGAACTGCACGTGATAGCTTCCTGCCATTGAAGTCTTACAGGTGAAGAGCTCCTGTCCTTTCCCTCTGAGGCTGGCTGATGCAGGCCAGCCCCCAATTGCTGCTTTTCTGAGTGAAAAACGTGTGGACAGGAAACCCTGGGAACTGCCTGAGAAAATTTGGGGCTTGGGCACTGAAATGTCTGCTGCAGCAGCACTGTACCAACCCTGTGGAGCTCGAGTCCCACGTCCCCACCCCGTACCTTCCATGACTCTGGATTCTGCTTTCCGCAGCAGGATCCTCTCCCCACCTAAACCATGTCCTCAGGGCTCAGCCCAGAGCCCGGCATGTACTTGGTACCAGTAAATACTGTGGAGGAAGTGACTCTAGGTCTGCAAGTATCCCCTCTGGTACCCACGTCACAGAGCTTCATTCTACAGGGGGGGACTCGGAGGCCTCAACTGCTGACAGTTAGAAGGCCATCCTTGTGCTTTCCTGGATAAAGGCTTGAATGACTCCTTCCCAAAGTCACTATATATAAAGCCTTTAGGATGACAGCCCAGACTGATAACATTTCAGACAAGTTGACATAGCAGAGGCAAGAGGTTATTTTGGAGCTGGAGGGACAAGGTGGTAGGAACAGAAGAGAATGTTTCTAGGTCCTTCAGCTCAGACCACGTCAATAACCACTGAAGTCTGTCTGCTCGGTATACGCCCAAGAAGGAACAGTCAGGCCCTAGGCTCTTTTAACTTGATTCTGGGATGGCCTTTAACTTACAAGGGGCTATCTACAGTTTGTCCCACGACATGGCCCAGATACCTGGCATTACCAAAAACTGAGTTATTAAAACATCTGTCCTTCATGGAATGAAGGGCTAAAGAACCCCCAGTTTCCAATTAATCAAGTGTTTTTTTCCTTATATGCATTCCCGAATGAAAGTTTTTAAGATAAATAGTTATTCACATAGCTATAGAAAGCACCCCAAACAAATCCAGTACTATACTTGGTTACATGTGGCTTTTTTTCAGTAGCCCTCTCACAGCTGACAGCTTTCATTTACGAGAGCTTCCTCTGTGCTGTGTGCATTCTATTCACTGCTTTACCCGCATCTTCTTATTTCGTTCAAACCTGTTATTTGAACACTATGTGCCAGGCCCAGTTCTAGGCACTAGGAATAAAACCAGAAAAAAGTCCTTGTTCTCCAGGAATTTATGTTGCAATGAATAGAAATCTTCATAAATTTAATTCTCAGTACAACTCCACAAAGTAGGGACTTCTATTCTTTCTACTTTACAGACAAAGAAACAGGGAGATACAAAGTTGAAAAAGCCATCTTGGCACTTCCTTGGTAGTCCAATAGTTAAAGAATCTGCCTTCCAACGCAGGAGAAGTGGGTTCGATCCCTGCCTGGGGAACTGGGATCTCACGTGCCACGGAGCAACTATGACTGTGTGCCACAACTAGAGAGTCCATGTGCCACAACGAAAGATCCTGAATGATGCATGCCATAACTAAGACCCCACGCAGTCAAATAAGTGAGTTAATATTTTTCTTAATTAAAGAAAGAAAAAACAGTAAAAGGCATCTCATACATTCTAACCAGTTACTACCCGAAGTGCAATGCCACTTTCACAAAAGTCAGCTCCTGATTTATTGGTTGGTACATTATAATCAATAGCTGTTTGTAAATTTCAAATCGTGTTCCCTAACTAATTGATCCCCTTATGATGGAAATACTTTCTCTAGGAGACATATTTTATTTTTGACACACATAGCCATACAGCATTGATTTATACTCACTGTAGAATAAATTGATGACGTGCTGGAAACCAAGGAGAGTGAGGATCCATGAACTATGAAAAAAAGAAAAAGAAAAGGTCACTTGTATAGCTGGCTACTAGGCAGCCCAAAAGGGGAAGGGAAGGAGAAACTCGGCATCAGAGTTGGAGCTACCAGGCTTGGAGCTACCACCTCACTGTGACCCAACCTTGCCTGGTTCGGTGACAGGTCAAAGTCAAGAAAGGAATCATTTTCTATGGGAGTCATTTTTCTGTTGCCACATTTTATTTCCTACAACCTTCTAAACACTTCCCCCCTCCGACTACCAAAATAATACATAATTAATAAGTTAAATGTTTCAAGTACAGAGAAGTGTTAAGAAGCACATTCACGGCCATCAATTGTGTGACTCATAGTTCTATTACCCAGAGGCAAGTGCTACTTGCTTTGTTCCAGCAGATTTTATTCCTTTCTTTTTTCTTATGTGTCCCTTAAAGTTAAATTCGTGTTGCAAATGTATTTTATATTTTGCTAGCATCTGTCCTTTGTAGATGCAAAAAATGATGAGCTGATTATTCTGAACACAAGAGGCTGGCTGTTGGCTACAGTACATTCATTCAAGATGATCATGTAGCAGAACATTGGTTAGAAAATATATCCACTGAAACTGAGGTTCTTCGTCTGATTTTTGTCATGTTTACACAGTGTCCTCTCCCCTGGTTGTGACTGGACTTTTGGGACTTAGAACCATCCTGTACTTTCCTCCCTCACCTCCCCAAGCCATGGAGATGTTTTATTATCTGTCTTCGTGTCATTTTAAGCCACAGTCTTTGTCAGGACTAGGTACTCTGGCTGACTTCTCTTCTTGGAAACCAGATTCTTTAACGACATTTTCCTAGTAATCTCTCAAAAACACTGCTTGAAAGATAGAAATATGCCTGTGGAGACCTCACAGATCTTTTGATAGGTCACAGCCTCCCTGACCAGGAGTAAAATGGCCCTACCCTTTCCACCACACCGCATGCTCACCTGTGATCTGAGAGTGGGAAGCTGGGGAGGAATACATGTGCACCAAACGGCTTTCACTTACCACCCAAGGAGTGAACTTGACTCAGATCAGTGGTCAGCGGAAGCTACCTGCCCACAGATGTCCCACCCACGACTGCGCCAACCTCCCCAGTGCCTCCACACCGTATTCCCAATAAAGCCGGTGCCTCCACACCATATTCCCAATAAACATCCCGAACCCCAGCCTTCCTTCAGGCGCTCCTTTCACACTCTGAATCCCGCCAAGCTCTCTCACGCATGACCTGTGAAGTTCTTTGCCATCTGAGAGTCTCTTCCGGTGCAGCTCCCTTGGTTTAGGATGTTTCCCATCCCTGCCCGTTCAGATCTCCAGTGGGATCAGCTCAAATGTCATCTTCTCCAGGAACCTGACCTCATTTCCCAGATGGCCACCAGAGCAGCTTCCTCTCTCCTCAGTCCACACAGATCCTGGGCTTGCACTTCTGGTCCTCTCCTCTCAGAAGCTGCCAGCTGCCCTGAGGCTGTCGCTGCACTGTCACTTATATCCACCCTCCTCAGCAATGCCTGGGGTTCTAGATCTTTCCCTCTATTCTTCCTCCACCCATCACTCACCTGGCCTGTGCCCATAAAAAATCAACTGAAGGTGTTAATGGCCAATAATGGCTTTCAGTATTAATATGTCCACACATTAAAATAAGTGTCTCATGCCCTAACCTAGTGGTCTAACAATCCAAAGGGTTAGTAAGTTACTTTGGCCCCACGACACAGACACTAGGGGGGAAATTACAGTGGAGGCCAAGTTGGAGGAAGAGATGTAAGTAGCATGGAGCCGCCCCTCTATCATGCTGCCCTGCCAGACGCCGGCTCTGGAGGCCTGCACAGGGCTTCTGTGTGGACTTTGGCTGCTGAAAATGGGAAGTCTGTCTCTTATTTCTCTACCTCATACACATGGATTCACTGACACTGCCTTCAGCAACATCTCAGGGCAAGCCTGGGGCCGCACGCAGAGAGGCACATCTGGCAGGCTTCGGGTGGAGGTAATTATTTTTCTCTGTAATTAACTCCTCTTACTCATAACTAGCAACAGCAAGGCTGTGGTCCAGAGGAAGAGTCCTTGCTTTCCAGATCAACCCCGAGCTGAATGTGGCTGCCTGAACCACTGCAGCTGGCCCTCCTTCAAGGACGCTGAGCCAAGGCAGAGCCTGGGTCATGCGGCTGGGATGCTTCTGGACAACAAAACGCACACAAGACTTACAAAGCCCAGAGCAGCAGGAGCATGCCCTTCAGCTTCTTCCCTATACTTCCCCAAATTTGAAGGTACAAGGAACCAGAGAATACCTAGGCCACCCCTGCCACTGACTCTCTGAAACCCAGAGAGGTTAAGTGACCTGCGTAAGGTCCTATAGCATTCAGGAACAGGATCTGCAGACCAGAAATCTGGAGATGGCTTTGCCCTTGAGTGATCTCACTTACTGAGATTTACTTACTGGTTTCTGAGGTTTACTTTTGTTTGTTTTTGGTAAAGCCTTCTGGTATATTTAGAATGGTTTCCTAAAACCTTCATTCAATCTACACAGGCACAAGCTGGGACCAAGCAAGCATACAGTGTGTGTTTGAGAAGAATGTGACTTCACCCCAACCTAAAGCACAGATAGGGGTGAAATCACATGATGGAATGACAACTGGGCATAGTCTAGCCAACAAAGCAAACAAGTGCCTCTGCTGGAACACTGGGGCATCATATATATGTGTATATATATATATGTGTGTGTGTGTGTGTATATTATATATTATATATAATGTACATATTCAGCTTCATACTAATCAAAGCACTTTCTCACTTATACTACTGTTTGCAGTGATCCTCAACATCACAGAGAATGTGTAGGCAACATTCCCAGTAGGGCAGCAATTTCCACCCCTAACGAACACAGGAGTAAATGAAGGCCCAGAGGGGTTAACGGATGTGGTCAGGCACACACAGGTGGCCAGGAGTGGAGAGAGAAGGTGAATCTGGGCGTCGCACTCTAGATCCCCCTCTGCTACTGGGGGCTGTGGAAGGAGTCAGGGAGATGAGATGTGGTTCTCGTGGCTACTGGGCCACCCTCTCAACCAGCTAAGAAAATGTAACTGAAGACGGAGACCACACTGATGAAGGTTCATGTAAGAGAGCCCAGCTATGGCCAAGGAAACGTGTAAAGTAGGACTGAGCAGAGAAAACAGAGGGCTGAGAGTTCAGGAGTTCAGGACCTAGCAGTCCTGGCTGCAAAAAGTCCCCAAGTCACTTCTTCTGTTCAATTTTGCCATAAACAAAATGGGGTTGAAATGGCCCACGGGGAGAAGGATAAAACAAAACATACAACTGTTACAACAGCTACTGCTGATTGAGTACTTACTATAAACCCCTTTCAAAGTCATTCTACTAAATGCCTTCCAGGATTTATCTCACCTAATCTTCATGCCAGTCCTTTGAAGTAGGTACAATTATTTTCCACATTTTAGTGAACAGGAAATAGGCTGACCAAGGCAAGGCCCTTACCCAAAGTCACCATGCTAACAGTGGAGGTACCAGGACTTGAATCCAAGTGTAACTCAGGGGGGAGAAGCATCCGAGAGCTGCAACACAGGATTTATTTACTAATAAGCGGCTTTGTTTCTGCGGGCTCCAGATAAACTGGTTTAGACTGCACCAGTTCTTAGGGACGATTGGTAAAGTCCTGGATTTTTTTTTTTACTCCAAAGACATTCATTTGAAAAATGCCTCAAGCATCTCTCTAAAGTACCCTATTAAAGCTGACTGGAAGATCACATAATGTGCCTGATGGAAATTAATTTACCTGAAATAACTTTGAAAGGTTGCACCTGGGCCATGCTTGTACTCATCTACATATTTATAACTTTTATTTCCTTCAAAAGGCAAAGTGCTAATTAAATCCCACAAAAACCTCACACAAGGACTTGGGCTAATTCTTCCTAAATTTCTATTAATATTTGCTTTCTGGCATATGATAGACCTAACTGCCTCTTATGAGGAGGTTCTATTTGGCCCAAACATGAGATATGAATTTTTTTCCCAGCTGTTTCTGCAACACCAGGAGTTTATATATTCAAGAGCAGGGGGGTGGGGGGGAAGTCTTCAGCCAGTGGAATTAAAAACACCTAACTGCACAAGCCCTATTTCGCTTTTGTAATGTAACAGCTTTGGAAGAAATAAAACAATCTAATACCAAATTTCCCAAAAGATGAAGACGTAACATGTTTCTTAGTACTGATACATCGACAACAGCCCCTACTCCTTCTCCCTGAATTTGATTTTACCTCTGCAGTGAGTTCCACATCACCATGAATCATCAGGGTTTACAAAAGTCTAGACACTGCTTGTGGGCAAGTCCTTTTTATCAATGTCACTTTAACATCCCAGATAGCCCACAGTTGTGCTGCCTGACAGCTTGATTCCAGATGGAATAAATAAAAGCCATCTGATGATGATACTGTAATGGTCCTGGACCTTTATGAGGCGAAGTGTGCTTGTTTGGACAAGCTGCAGGATGGAACACCGTTCACTCAGGTACACCCGGGACAGAGCAGATGAATGGGGTGCACTACAGACTCAAGTCATCATCAGGAGGGCGGGGAAGTGCTTGGTGGCCACGCTCCGCTCGCCCACTGAGCAGAAAAAAGTTCAAGACAAACGACCTACTCCTTCACCTTAGGATCAACATGCCCTCCTCTATTACTGCTCTGAGTGGTTAAAACACTGATTTCTAGCCCTTAAATCCAGCAAAACATTCTCAGTAACTCAGGCTCCACCCCTCTTTAATCCACCATCCCAGCGGGTTCCCATATATGGATTTATAGACTAGTGTCTGCTCCCTGGATGCCACTGGATGCAAATAATACAATCAGAGTGGAGAGAATGAAGGAAGATTAACCACGGGGCAACTGCTCTGTAACTAAACTAAAACTTTTGTTAAAAAGAACACTGGGCAGAGCAGAAACCAACAGCCTGCATTTCTCCCGCTGTGGACTTATTTAGGGATTTCCTCAACCATCACAACTTCATTTGTTCTACCAGGAGGACACTGGGCACATTTTCCCTGTCTCACAGGGACTAGGAACAGAGGGACGTGCCTATGACTCCCCTCTGCACACCTATTCTATTCTGTCACTAGCAAAGAAGGTACAGCTAGGGCTAGGGCTCTCAGCCTCGTTTGCCCCAAGAGTCTTCCCTCCTCTGGCTGGGGAGTTCCAGCTGTCAGGACATCAATGCTGAAGCTGAGTGTTCAGGCTACGACAGGTACTAGCATTATTGGATTAACATTTATATATATTATCTCATATATATTTAATTCTCATAATTTTAATTCTGATGTAATTTCAGGACCAAGGTACTCCTATTCTTATCAGTGAAAATACAAAGGCAATAGAGAGGTGAAGTTAACTTGTCCAAGATCATATACCTAAGAAGTAGTGGAGCTGGAATTCAAACCCCAGCAGTATGACCCCATATCCTTAACCATGTTCACCACTGGTAAGACAACAGTGATGATAAAACACCAGTATATTATCAACTTCATCTTTGCTTTGGGGGAAGGGGGTGGAGGGATGTGCCTGACATTTTGACTGCTGGCTCCCCTAACTCACACTTTGCCTGAAGGAAGAAGAAATGAATCGAGGTAGGAAGATGGCCGATGAAGGTGCCCACAGTAGTTTTCTCCCCCAAATTCTGATTAAAACAAACAAAACATAAAAATCCTACCCCAAATATTCCCAGTTAGCAAGCAAAGAAGGAAAAGGGCAAAACTGAATGCAAAAAACTTAAAAAAACAAAAAAACAAAAAAACTGGTGCTTGAGAAAAAAGATAGAAGATTCTGGAGCAACATGGAGAAGCATGGCGGCCTACAGACCCCCAAAATGATCCCAGTGCAGCGGCACAGAAAAGTGAACTTTCTCATAACTGGTGTTGCCAAGATGGTGCACCAGCAGCTGAGCCTTACGGTGGAACTCAGCCAACTCCAGGGCTCACCAGTGTTTTGTCAGCAGCCTCTTCCCTCAAGACCTGCAAGGTTAACTGAGAGTCAGACCCTACTGTTGAGAGCTCCCCAGCGCAAGCCGGTGACTTGGAATCTCAGGCAGGTGGGCTCTTGCCTTGATGACGCGATCTCAGTCTAGAGGAACGCTAACCACTCTGCATGCTGGGAGAGAGGGTGAATCTCCTGGCTCACTTACCTTCCTCAAACCCATCCCGGAATGAGCCTGAGCGGCTCATGGTTCTGCTCTTCTCGTCCAGGGACATGGAGCTGTTGCGGAAGCGGGTGTCGGTGTACGGGTCATACTGCCCGTCGGCATTGGAGAGGCTGTGGGTTCTCAGCATGGTCGGGTTGGACAAGCTCATCTGGGTGACGGTGGTGGGACTCGCTGCAAGGAAAGAAGTCAGTCAAAAGGTTGGAGGCTCACAGCCCTGAAGGGGACAGAGAGGAGGCTGCGGACGATCGGCCATCTCCAGGCCTGTCAACTCCTCTCCCTTTGTTTTCTCAAAGGTAGTCACATCAGCATTTGAGAAACACACTTAGAGCTAAAAATAAGGGAGGAAAGGTGGGTCAGTGCCAAAGCGAGGCTCCGGGCCCCAGCTTTCCCACTTGGCACGTTCAGACAAGCTAGTATCACCTTCCAGGCATGAGCTAATTACTCTCTGGGCTCATCTGGGACAATTCTCTCTAAAGCCAAAAGCTCAAAATAGTTCAGCCGGGCTTTTGATCAGATGGGAAGCATTTGTGCATGACAAAAAACTCTTGCCTCAAAGAGTTACAGCTGAGGAAGCACAACAGGAACACAGGTCTCACTGTCTCTGATGGGGAGATTTCAGTGGTGCCTGCAAAGCTTCAGCGCAAAGGGGGCGCGTGTACTTTAGCCGAAACTGGCTTTCTTATTAAACTCCTGTCCACTTCAGTAATGTAAAATAGTTCAGAATTGCAGCCGGTTCATTAAAAATGAAGAGTTAAGCCTTCCTTGATTAGAAGTCCTTTAAGACCAAGTTTCTTATTCACAATAATCAGAAAAGGCTGCCTCTCTGAAGAATACGATGAGACTGGAAAAAATGCTTCCCTCTGTATCCATCTTGGAAGGCTCAGCTCTCATCTCGCCACCTCCATGTAACCTTCCCCAGTCATTCAAGCTAGGACTAGTCTTGCCTTTCTCTGTGTATAATACTTGCTATTGGATCACATTCAGTTTTTACAGGATTTCACATAAAGCTTTGAACTATTCTCGTTTACCTGTTGATTAGTCTGTGTGGGGGTTTGTCTCTCTAAAAAAGCACCCGTTGACATGCCAGCAGGGACTATGTTACAAATTCTTTTCCTTTCCTCATTGTGCCAGTCAAAGTCTTATGTCACCGGTAGGCACTTCCAAGAATACTCATTCAATCAAAACTTGATCTTTATTTCTGGTTTAATAAAGCAAGGAGGATGACCAAATGTGGGATATGTTGTAGAACGTACTTCTTCAGAGATCTTAGAATACATGCTTCTCATTCTATGGATAGTTTGCCCTACCTACATCAACCATGTAGAGAAAATTACTGGTAGAGAACCGAGAAACCTTTCTCTTTCCTTTTGCTATCAATAGCCTGTAATCAAACTTCACTGCTGAGGGCAGATCAGATACTGAGAACTACATGACCACATGTCTCTTTCAAAACGCAAGATAACTTCCGCCCCAAGGTGCCGATCAACATCGTTAAATGCCAAGTGGCTACTCACCCAGCTGAGAAAAGTTGAATCTTGTTCCAGAAGGAGAAGTTACACTGGACCCAGAGGAGAAAGGAGAGTTGGCGGCGGTGTCCTGCAGGCCTCCTGCAGAGTGGGACCGTAACCATTCTTTTGCGTCTTCTTGCGTGCGGAGCTGGGAGGTGGGGGTATACCTGGACAGACAGAAATCGGGCTGGGATTAACTAGGAACAACATTTATGAGAATGAGCGGCCCGGAGCGGATAATAAACATATAAAAAGAAAATATATATCCAAACATAAAGGAAGAAAGTCTGATGTTTGAAAAATCAGGTTGCTACACATTCTGCAACTCACAAATGTTCTCAAAACCTTTTTGGCTACTTGGCTGTCTTTGGGGAAAACTGCAATTCCTTTCAGTTTAAAGGGAACTACATGAAGGGAACGAGATTGGTAAATGCTCAAAGAGCCGGCCCTGGGCGTATCTGTAACATGTTGATTCATGACGGTGTCATTTCAAAGCCCCCACCTTGACAGGACTGAGGCAATGAAACAAGCTGTTGTCAGAACTCTGAGGAAGTTTTAATTAGATAGCTCCTGGCATCTGCATTCTGAAGTGCAAATAAGCGGCCGTGAATCACAGAGTAGCAGAAACCAGACACGTAACAGAAGGTGTGAGGAGACCAAGGTTGACAGCAGTGGCTGTAGTCTGGCAGAAACCAGTCTTCAGAGGGGACCCCAAATCACTGGGTCTCACACGAGGCCCGCCTCCTCGTCGATTCTGAAACGTATCTGGTGATGATACGTATCTGAATGTCTCCAACACACCAGGTGCCTTCACAGACTTTATCTCGCTGAAGCCTCAGACTCTCGCAGCAATGCAGGTGCTATCACTCCCATTTTACCGAAGTTTCAATCCATACGCATCTGATCCCCAAATCCATGCTCTCCTCATCATGCCCACAGGCAGCATCTCAAATTTCTAAAGTGCCCAAGTGACCAGAGTACTTTGGACTTATAAACAGATTCTGGTGGGGTGACTACCAGATATGTGTGTGTACAGAGCAGGTGAGCCAGAAAGAGAACCACAGTGAGAATTCGGAATATAGACATGGTTCTTCCTTAATGTTTTTACTAGAATTGGACTTTCCAGGTCCCATTAATTGGCTGAGGATACCATGTCACGTATCTCCATTCTGAATTAAAAAAAAAACAAACAAAAAAACACAATTTTTAAAAGCTAGAGTTACATAATTTTCATAGGATAGATCTGCTCCAGAAATATACACAGGATTATGAAATGCTAATATTCAGAAGTGAGCTTCCACATGAAGCAACAGTGGGGCAAACTCACTGAAGAGCGGGTATGATTTAAACACTGGCCTGAGTGCCAACAAGCAGCTCTCACAGGCATGATGAAAACTGTTAAACACAACAGGCCTTGCCAACTCCCCTCTCGAAGGCCACAAGGCTGAACTTCCTCCCTCGGGAGGTCTGCTGGGGGTTTTTCAATACTTCTTAGATTCTTATATTTGGCTGCACTCGGAGCTCCTGTTGAAAGGAAGCATTGATACCTACCTTCCATTACCGGTCAAAATGCTCTCAGCCTTAAGAGCTGCTGGCTATTAACTACCGACATACACGACAGCAACGAAACATTTCATTCCAACTTCCATGTTTTGCAAAAGCTCTTAATGCTTAGTGCAGGGTGAAGCGGATGCTACAAAGGACGAGGTGTTTAGAGAGCGAGAGAAATGATAGCTGCAACCACATGACATTAAGATCACAGGACAGGCGGTAGGACTGAAGTTCTTCTGGGTGGCAAAGTGAGGTGAATGGTGTGAGCAATGGTGACTTATAGCATCTTGTTACACCAGGACCAGAGTCAAAAATGAGCCATCACTTATAGTGAATGAGACGACACTCCCTCTAGGAAAGAAAGTTTTTTCTTTCTTTACGTTAAAAAAAAAAAAAAAATGATCGCCTCATATCTTGTGGGGCATTGAAAACCGACCTGATTTTAGATTAGAATATTCAGACAAGTGCAAAGCACCTGTCCTTAGCAACTTTCTATGGGCCAAAAAGTAAAAAATCCTCAGACTGGGGGTGGGGAGGAGGGGAATATTTCTCTTCTTTGCTCATGTCCTGGCTGACAAATCAACATGCTACAAGTCATATCCTTTCTCTCGGAAGACAGCCGTGGATGGAATGGTCATGGCGAAGTGATCAGCAATTAAACCCACTGGCCCCAGAAGTAGCCGTAACTGCTCTCCAGGTTTGCTCAGGGATTGCTGTCACAAGATGGTTTGACCACAGTAAGCCTTAAAGAGCACAGCCCCTGCTCAAGCAAAAGAAGCCGACAAATGGAGCGATGAGAACAAGAGGGTTGCGAGGAGAGCCGTCGTCCACAGGGTCCTGCCACGTGGGCCCAAGCGGGGACCCCCAGCCCACCCGCACCCTGATCAGCCATGAGCGAGTCACACAGCCAAGCCCCAGAGCCACAGCAGATGGCACGGATGCAAGGAGGAAACACAGATACCTGAGTCCTTTTTTAGGCAAAGTGTTCCTATCAAGGTGCGGGTCACTGTAGGAAAGTTAAAACAAACATGAGAACCTCAGGGAAGCACAAGGAGAGCAGGCAACGTGAGGTGGGAAAGGCTCGGGGGGCCTAGAGATCCGGAGGAAGAGACTCACTTCACCGGGGAGAAGTCCATTGCATGCAACACAGCCACAGCGACGGGGACAAAGGAAACCGAGGCCTGTGCTCACACCTGGGCGCCTCCAACCCTGGCATCGGGGGGCCCGAGCCACTCGGCCCCAACTGCTCCTTCCTCTTCCCCGGGTTCAGAGCTGTACCCAGGGGCTGCCCCCACCTTGAAGCAGCGCCCAGGCCTGCCCCGGCCCGTCGCCCATCGGTACCGCCTGCGCTCAGGGCTCCCTGCACCCGTAAGCACTCTGGCCCACCCCCAGATGCCTCCGGTGATGACTTCAAGTGAAAGAAGGGACTTGTTGGACGGTTTCAAGAGGCCAGCAGTCTGCATATTTGGAATTCATCTGTAACAAGTGGATTCCGGATCCCTCTCAGCTTTCGAGGCCCTCATTGCGTGGAGCTAGAAGCTGAGCCTTGGGCAGAGCTGGGGCATGTTACAGCTTGCTGGCTGACAAAGTCACAGCATTCAGATTTCCAAAGACCGAGGTTTAAAGGCTTGGTCTGTAAGTCCGACCAAAGCAAAGTTTTTGCTGTTGACACGGTGAAGAGGGTTTTCGCTAATTTTTATCCCCCCTAGCATGAAACAACATCTGCTTATTATGTTTGGCCAAGCCACAGCTCCCCCCACAAATTCAAGGTCAATAATCCATCTCTGAGGCCCACCCACAGGGCAGCTGGGGGCCAACAACACTCCCCATGTTCTTATCTTTACAGAAAATGGGGATCCAGAACACAACAGCCCGCGAGACACAAACTGTGGCAGAGGCCTTGGAGAGGGCAAAGAGCCAGCTGCGTGGGGAGTGGGGGTGGCGGGGAGACAGAGGTGAGGGCCAAGCTGCGTGGTGGGTGGTAGGTCACGTCTGGGCCTGGAGCGGGAAGGGAGGGAGGCGAAAGGGCGGGAAGCCAGGGAGCAAGGAGCATGCCACGGGGGAAGCTGACATGCCAGTGAGAGCTTCTGCCGCCCCTTTCAGGTGGCAGGTTTGAGCTTCCTCCCCAAGCTGGGAAGGGAGGGGCGGGCCCAGCGCACCTCTCCTGGAGCTGTGTGGACAGCGGAACTGACCCTCACGGGCATGTCTCGGGTTGGGGTGGGGGTCACAGAGTACAACGGGGCCACGAACACAAGCGGAAGCCGCAGGCCAACAGCCTCACACAGAACATCCGGCTCGACACAGGGTGGGGCAGAGGACGCTAGAGGCTCGGTGGGGCCCCCGGCCAATGGTGTCATTACCTGTCCTGTTTCCGGGGCAGAGTACTTCTGCAGAACTTAGGGCTAGCGGCGGGGGAAGAGAGAGGGCTAGAAGGCCAGGCAGGTGGAAAACAAGAGAAGGAGCATTAGATGGGAAGGAAGGGCGCAGGGCGTCACACACAATGACTAGAACATTTTGCTCATTCCCAGGGCTGATACTGGCTTTCCTCCCCACGTGGAGAAGGCAGACATGTTATCACGGCTACAGTGAGATTCGAAGCTCCGAGGAAGACTCCGGGTGCGTGATCTCCTATCACTCCGCCCCGCGGCCCTTCGGTAGGAGGGTGTTTGCCACGTCGACTCAGCTACTTAAGGAGCACCCCACCACGCGCTCCGGGGACGCAGCCGCCACCAACTCGGCCCGCACCATTACAAGGGCAGGGAAAGAAGCAGGTGATGAACAAACAGGATAAAAAGGAAGGACCTTGCAGGTGGAATGCTGTTTTAAAACAGAAGCATGAAATCTGCCCCCAGGAGACTTGCAGCAACTCCACGCGCTGAGAGTAACCACAGTGAGAAAGATAACAGGAAGCAGAGCCTGGCTTACTCCAACCCAACCTGGCTTTCCCCCGGAGAGACAGCAGTGATCCGAAAGACAGTGATCACCCAGCAGAGGTAAACACCACCTGGGCTTCCCAACATAATGTCTGGACTCTCGGAGGGGCGTCTTTTGGGGAGATAAAGGCAGCCAAACGCACAGCACCAACCTTTCCGACAGTGTGGTCTTCACACTGTTGGTTCTGACAAAGGGGGTGAGGGCGTCGTCCTTGGAGGCAGCGATGAGGCCCGTGGAGGAGTTGTGACTCAGTGCTCCTCCGCTGCCCAGGGAGATGTCAATGGACTCGCAGCTGGTGTGGAGGCTGCTGACTGACTGGAAGCCCAGGCCGTCCTTGCTCACAGCCGAGGAGCTGCTGGCATTCGTGCCCCAGGTGAGGCTGTTGGAGGGGCCCGAGTGGGCAGAGCTGGGGCTGGAGGCCAGCGGGGACTGGGTGCTGTCCACGTTCTTACTGTAGAGAGGGCTGCTGCTCCCGCTGCTCAGGACGCCACTGCCCGAAGGGGACTCTAAGTTACCCTGCTGGCTCAGGGTGGCATGAGGATTGGAGATGACCACCGAGTTTTTCATGTTTTCGGCTGTGGCGATGGGCACTTGCTTGGTAGGCTTCCCACCAAAGAGTCTGTGAAGAGACAAAGGGTTGTGTGGGTTGAACACCCAAGGCCAGGGGGCGCTGGGCTGTCAGAGGAGGCTGGGGCACCGGAGCCAGTGAGAGTCCCTGGGGAGGGAGGCGGGGTCCTTCCCAGGGCTTGAGGCAGTCCCCCTGGGAAAGGTACAACGGGCCAGGTGCTGGCGGAGCAAAAGCTCCACCTTCAAGTTCTAGGCTGCCGCTGAGATCCTGGATCTGAGCGAAAGGGAGACAGGCAGTAATCTTCTACCGGCCTATCCTTCGCTACTTCAAGATCTTGCTTCTCTTTCTTTACATAGAGTAACTAGAAAACTGCCCCTGTCCAGGAAAAGAGGGGAAAAGAGTTGTCTTAATCACCTTTGTATCTGTGACCCCAGGCACAGAGCAGGCCCTCATTTATGACAGTTCAGCTCCGAAGGATTTGGTTTCTCTGATCTCTGAGCAAACATGCAGCATCAGGAACAGGAGTCTAGATGTGGAGGCGACCTGGTCAACGTATCCTCCAGATTAATTCTCGCATGAAAGCCCGGCCTGAAGGAGGTGTCTTTTAGGGCCAGAGAGCGAGTGTTGCCCAGTGATATGCACAAACCCTTGCAGGGTTCACAAGATGTGAAGAAACGCCAGGTATGAATGGTGTCTCTGTGACAGACACACAGAAACGCCCTTGCACGTCATCTCCCCCACTGCTCACGACCAAAAAAGTACTGCCAAGGACAGAGGGAATGGCACAAATACTCCCCTCTTCCGTTGGCAGAGAGTTCTCTGGTAGGATGGAGAAACTACCTTAAAAGTCAAAGGACAGTCTGTGCTCTTATAACAATGGCTTTATTCCATCCACTAAAACTCTTATGAAACAGGTATCTCAGAAAAGAAATGATACCCACTACATATTACGATGATAGGTTGCCTTTCACCCAGCTAGTCAGAGTCATGTAAATTTGACCTTCTATCTTCTCTAATGGAGAAGGAAATGGCAACCCACTCCATTGTTCTTGCCTGGAGAATCCCCTGTACAGAGGAGGCTGGCAGGCTACAGTCCATGGGGTTGCAAGAGTTGGACACAATTTAGCGACTAAACCACCACTACCATCCTCTCTAAAGGGTCCTTGTTATTGTTTAGTTGCAAAGTCATGTCCAACTCTTTTGTGACTCCATGGACTGTAGCCCACCACACTTCTTTGCCCCTGTATCTCCCAGGTTAGAATACTGGAGTGGGTTGCCATTTCCTTCTTCCGGGAATCTTCCCACCTCAGGGATTGAACCTGCATCTCCTGCTTGGCAGGCAGATTTTTTACCACTAAGCCACATGGGAAGCCTAAACAGCCCTTACAAATCTCAATTACTTTAGAAATAAATAAACATAATCAACCCTCACTACGATGTCTGGTGACAGAAGAACGCTTTCTGCCTGGTGACAGAGAAAGAACTATTCTGTTGCAGAACCTTGGCTTTGGAGTGCTTATATACCTGCAGTGACAGGGGCCTCACTACTCGACTCCAAAGGCTAACTGGCTTCACTGCCAAGCACGTCCAGTGGTTACAAAACCAAACTCGAATCCACCTTTTCCTGATTTGTACACATTGCTCCTAATCCTACTATATGTAACTACACAGAAAAAGTTCAATTTTTTTTCTGCTAGTCCTTCACACCACTTGAAGAGAGCTATCACACTTCACCTAAGACTCCTCTCCTTCACATTAGTGCACAATGAGAGAATTCAGAACACCTTAATAATTTAGGAAAAATGTAATTGCTAGGAATGGGCTGAAAGGTGCTCAGTTCAGAGCCTAAGAAGCTGCATGCATTTTCAAGTATTCTATTACACTAGCCTCAGGGTCTAGTAAAATGCCTTTGTAGCTACTAAAGGAAATCTATAATACCAAAGAGCGAATATTACATATTATACTTGAGGCAAGAAGCAGAGAAAATTTCCATTTACAAGGCAACCTGTTAAAACAACAAAGAACACCCCAAAAGGACCTTCCCCTGAAAAAATAATCATTACTGAAATTCTAATAATCAAGTCTAGACAAAGAACAGTGAACTGCTTCATTATACCTTTCATGTGGAATGCTTCTTCTGAAAGGCTTTGCAAACATTCCTATCCATTCCCAAATATGTACATGTGCACATAAGTTTTGTTTTTCCACTGCTAAATTTTCTATCCTCAGGACTTACTCTTTCCTGAAAAGGTAGGATGAACTGTGCCCTATGTGGCTGCAGTTTTAAAGATGGTCCACTGTATATTATAATGAGGCAAAAAGTTGTATAAACTGAAAGGAAATTCTATTTTTCAGAAACGCTTCTGCTTTAAGAATTGTTTTTTTCTTTTCTATAAAGGAAGCTAATATTTCAGAGACTAATTTGGAATCACGCACGCAGTATAAAAAAAAGTGTGGGGGGGATACTGGATTATTTGGGGAAAAGATCAGGCCAAGATCACTATCTGGCATAATGATGAGGAATCTGAGTTACAGCTTTAAAAAAAAAACAAAACCTATTTTCCTTGAGCCCCTCATCTAGATCTAAGGGTGTATTAGGAACTCATCTTCAATAGTAACTAACTTTTACTGGGTACTTACTATGGGCTATATATGGCTACATAGATTAATGGTCACATAGATGGTGGCAGGTGGGTATCATCATCCCCATTTTACAGATGAGGAAATGGAGGCAGAAATATTGAGAGAGGTTACATGGTGGCTACATAAGGTGGACCTAGGATTCAAACGCAGGATGATTGATTTCAGAGGCTTGCGTTTTTCACACCAACACGGGAAAATACTCAGCTGACTGCAAAACTGCTGGCAGCATTCGACCAGCTTTATTCGAGGACTGAAGCGGAGAAAACCAGAGATGCTTTCAGCTAAGAAACAGGAAATTTATGAATCCAGGATGCCATTCCACATCACATATTCCAGTTCCACTCAATGCAGTTTACCCACTTACCTGCGGAGCGTGGGAGAGGCCACATCAGGGTACTTGGCCCCTGGCTGGAGAGTGGCCTGAGCTGCGCCAGACACAGGCTGGGGTGCCGGGTTCACCTTCACCGAGTTACAGGAAGCCACGCTCTCGTTGTCGGAAGAGATGCCTTTCTCCTTATCGGTCTGGTTGACCAGACCTGGCAGGGAGCTGCCCAGGGCTGTTTTGGAAGGCTCCCTCAGCTTGGGCACCGGCAGACCTGCTGACTTGCTGCTGATGTTGGAATCTATGCTGCTGGTACTAGACCTGTTCCCGGCCCCGTTCCGGCTGGTGGACTTACTGGGCCTTGGCAGACTCCGGTACTGTAAGTTCGTCCGGGAGCTGAGAGACAGATACCCATCGTCCTGATTCTGAGCCCCATCCATGCTTGTCTTCCGACCGGTGGACCGACCAACAAGCGCGGATGACTTTGGGATTTTGCCCAGTGTGGCCGACCTGCTGGTGACAGTGGCCCCGCTGGCTGTGATCATGGCCAGACCAGCGGCAGAGCCACTCTGCTTCTTGAACCCAAAGCTGTTGGTGTTGGCGGTGGGTGTTCTGGAGCTGCTGGGGAGGGGCTTCTTGGATTCATCACCACTGCTGCGGCCAGCATCTGATGGGGAGCGCTTCACCTGGGCAGCTTTGGGTGACAGCCTTCCTTTCTCGGACACTTTTGCATCGTCTGTTTTTCCTACAACAGAAATCCGCAAAGTTAGCCTGCAAATTAAGAAGCCAGCTCAGTCAACTCAGACTATTTAAAATTCTCCCCTACTCCAAAGAACTGCTTTGCTTTCTCCTGGGGGGAAGCAGTCCCCATGGGAGACAGAGGAGAGAGCTTTTTATAAAGATAATCTCATCTATGACTGTCACCATGGGTCTTCAGGAGATGTCAGTGATTTTCCTCATTTGCAAAGCAGTCTACATTTACCCAGAATAGAGCAAAGCCAGCCAATCACTGACACGTCTGGGAAGGAGACCTTGTCTTTTACTGACCATTCTCCCTCTATCCATTAAAAACGTGTCCCTAACATTTTCAGTGGGTATCCTACCTTCCTGCAAAAACTCTGCCCTTCTTTATACATATCCTTAAATCACGGGCAATACTGACTCAGCATATCAACAGCTCATAACCATGTGCCCTTGAATAGTCTTCACTGGGTATGTTAACTCAGAGCCTGCCCATGCTTCAATTAATTGAACACGTCTCGGCAGCTCAACCATCTTCAACTTTAAGAGGCTCTCATGTTCACAAATTTCCACTTGGAAAAAGGCAAAGATATGAATCTTTCTGAAAGCTGGCTAAGAGCAGAGTCCAAACCCCAAGAAGTAATACCTGAGCATTTACAGGGACTTGAAAACATCAAGCCCTGCTAGCGTGACTGCTTTTCCGTGACAAGTGTGCACGCGAGACAGTGCACGCCTCTGACTCACCAGTTCCGGGGGCCTTGAGTGTGCCTGCCGGGGCAGTCGGCTTCGTCCTTGGCATGGTGATGCCGACCTGAGCCGTCATACCTCGCCGCCAGGAGCCTGTCTGTGAAATGACAGGGTTCTTCTTGCCTGACGTGCTTTTGTCGGACTCATCAGACACGTCAGATGGATTCCGCCTCCACTTCGACCCTGGCTCCATCTTTATGCCGCTGTCTGAGCCCCCGTCTGACTTCTTGACATCCTCGCTGGACCACAGGGAACTCCTCTCCACCTGTGAGTGTTTCTCGGCGTCAGTCTGTGAAGGAGACCCTCTGAATCAGTCTTTCTCAAACCCCAGGCTAGGGAGCCCCTCACTCTGGAGCAAAAAGGCCCATGCCCTGGACGAGTTAGGGGAAAAAATAACAGATGCCCACTTTCAAATATTTAAGCCTTTGTACCGGTTTATCTTGTTAGGAAGCCTGATTTGTTGGGTCCAAGGAAAGTGAAGAATACGAAAATGTCCAAGAAGGGAGTGAGGGAGGAGAGGAAAAGGAGGCAGAGGAAAAAGAGGGAAAGATCGCCATGCAGGAGAACCAGGTGACAGGGCTGTGGCAAGAATTCAGCCCCCCAGCTCTGCTCCTTGGCGACATGCCTCCTGTCACTCCGGCAGCCCGAGCTCTCTGCAGCTCCCAGCCCCGCAGCCCAGGTCTCCTTTGTTCTGCCGGCTCCTGAGCACCACAGTCTATCACATGGCGAGTCTAACACAGACAGCGAGGAGAGACTGAGGCCGCTAGCTCCCCTCAAATCAGGGACAGAGAGGGGCTGAGAAGTCACGTCCCCGGGTGCTAAAAGGCAGAGGGTGCCTGCTCCCAGCCCAGCTCCATCCATCTGCCACGGCTTGCTCCTCTTGTGGGATTCTGTGCGGACAGGGGATATAATTAGCCAGCTTTCTTTGGAAGAGGCCTGACCTCCTGGCCATGGAGCCCAGGAGGGGACAGAAGTGTGATGTTAATGATTTGCTGCACTTAAAAGGCATAACTTGCTAACCAGAAAGAAAGCTCTGGGGGCCTGCCTCGGGGTTGGGACCAGCCCAAGCAGATTTCAGTAGGGAGAAAAGCAGGGCACCGACCAGGGTAGGGAGCGGAGGTCAGCAACACTGGGGGTGGCTCCCCTGAGAAACAAGTCCCGTACGTGCCATACTTCACGACCAAGAGTGGGCAACGTCTGCAAGGAAGGAAATCTAAATGACCCCCTGGCCAGAATCTGGCCTGATGCCTGTCACTCGAGATGGGTACTGATCCTTCAGGGAATACACTGGCTGAACGGGAACAAAGCTCCATACAGACAAGCAGCCCAAGTTCAACCACCTCTCTGCCACCACTACAGCCTCCCAACTCTCTCCCTCTGCCATCTCCCGGGTACCTCCGGTTACTCGACCATTCTTCAAACGTGCTGAAGTTCTCGCTAGGTACGAGGCACAGAGAGAGAAGGATAGACACATTCCTGGGCTGTGAGAAGCTCATCATTCAGCTGTGGCAAGGGACACAGACAGAGGTGTGCCCACAGCCGATGAGCTCGATCAAGGCTCGATGATTAAATGAGCGAAATCAGTGAACACATGCTTCTCAAGCTATCGCACGCTTTAACAAAATGACCTCATCTAATCCCAACCTCCACCTGGTCAGGGAGGGTAAGCAGGTAAGTATTATAGGACTGTCTTCATCTTCATCAGTTTTACAGAGGAGCAGAAACTCATGGGACTTGCTCCATGTCCCAAGCACCCCAGCCTGTGGTCCTTCCTCTCAACCTTCCAGGGTATTCATTCAACCAGAATTTCCTCCATACCCGTGGTTTGCCAGGCTAAGGGGTGGGTCTGAGGGTCTGTGAGTAAGACTGGATCTCATCCCTTCTGAAGCTTATGATCCAGTAAAAGAGGCAGGGCTTGGAAATATATGATAAATAAATGGAAAAGGACAGAGAGTCTGAGAGAGAATTACAAGCACTGATGTAATTTAGATTATGATGATGGCGCTAGGGAATGGTAGTTTGGTAGGGCCTTTTTGAAGATGTGTCCTAAAGAATGAACAGAAACTTACTGAGAAAAGAGTTTAAGGGAAGGGCATGCCAGGTAGGGGGAAGAGTACATGCAAAGGTCCTGAGGCAGAAAATATCTTGGCTTTGGAAACATTCACTCAACAAATATTTACTTGATACCACTATGTATCAAGCAAGTTTTTAGGTACCAGAAATACTATACTTAATGAGAACAAAGTACAAATCATTAACCTCCTGGAGCTTATGTTCAAATACATTCTAACACATTCTTTTATACACTAAGAGGTACTGAAAACTTAGCACAAACTACATCCTGGGGGTACTGCATTAATTATTCTTTTAATGTTCCTATACCTTATTTTCCCTGATCAAATTATAGTGATGCTAATAGCAGTAGCAATAACAATTAAAATTTATTACGCATTTACTGTGTGCTAGCACTGGGTTAAAGTGCTTTACATGTATCGTTTAATCTTCACCAAAAAAAACCTGTGAGGAAGTTTCAGTTCATGAGAAAGCTAAGGCACAGAGTGGAAAAGAAGACTGCCCAAGACCACACAGTGCAAGGACTCTGGGGAGCCTGCGTGCAGAGCCCATATTTTAGCCACCAAGCTATGCTGCCTTCACAAAGGATAAGCCCAAGGACAAGAGGATGCTGCATGGTCAGGGCGCCTAACACAATACCTACTGTCAGAAACTTTTCTTTCCGTCCTGGTTGGTCAGTGGTTCCCCAAGTCCAATTCTCGAGCAGCTCCCGCCTCTGGGTGGGACCCCCAGAACTCTGATTCCCTACCAATGGCAGAGAGAGTGCACACACGCCCAGTGTGACTACAGCTTGAATACCCGTCTGGAAAGAACAATTATCCAACCATCACAGCCTCAACAACACGGTCCAGGGTGGAAGCTATCCCAGCTGCTCTTCTGCACTGCAGCATGTGCCCCGGGACACTACACTGGCTTTGAGTTCACATCCCCTCCTGAGCTCTGGGCCAGATCACATGGTGACACCAGGAGGGATAAAAAGATGAAGAAGGGCCAGCCTCTCTGTTCCAGAGCTTAACACAGGAGGGCCAGCAAGAGGCCACGTGGAGATGCACTCTCCCTTTGCCAACTGTTCTCTTCTCCAATGGTACCTCCTTTCTGTAGATTTCCCTCCTGCCCCTACCTGCAAGTCCACTTACTCATTCAATAGTCAAGAGGGAAGCGGAGAGACAGCCACATTCAAGGAGGAAGAGGGCCTGGAAGATGGGAGAGTTCTTCCCTCGAGAGCCTGGGCTCCTCAGGGACTGCGGAGAGGGGGTCAGTCTTCTGAGTGAGAGAGTGGAACCCAGGCACTGGGGAGTGAGGTACGGCCGTGGGGTGGGATGTGGGGGGGAAACAGGGCCTTGGGCTCTGACAGACTTGTTCAAGGACTAGGTACTGCCCGTCCTGTGCCGTGTGTGACCCTGGAGGAAGTGGCCAAACTTCTCTGAGATTGCAACCTTGTGCATGAAACAGGGATGGTAGTCAGACAGGCGCCTCAGAGAGCTGACAGTGGCTGGCACATGCTCAACGTGGAGGACCAAGCGTAGCTTTCCATCACCAAGTGTCCCGCCTCTGAAAATCTCCAGCACTTTAACATTTAACCTATTTTTGTCTTGCATGAAGGTAAATAGGGAATTTGTCTTTCTATTATTAAGTCTGTCTCTAAAAAAGCATGTTCAGATAAAGTATGTCTGATCTCTCTCACACTCAACCTTTAAGATAAGTCTTAATTGCTGTGATTTTTATGGACGAGGAGGCAGAGGCTTGGAGAGGTTGAGCTCATCCAAGGATGTCACAGAGCTGGGAGCTCAACCCTGACTTCAAGCCCATGTTTTTTTCCCTGTCACGACAAGCAGCCTCCCCAACTTTCCTGGAGAAAGTCAAGCAAGAGGTGGTCAGAGCTCAGGCCAGGGGATTCTCTGCCTAGCACGCTGAGGAGCAGGGAGCAGAGGTCAGGGCTGGGTGTCCCCATCGTGTGGGGACGTGTGGACCCCCTTCAAGGACCGCCCCAGTGCTCCTGAGCACCCTGGAGGAAACACAGACAAAGGGGACTTCCATCCCCAAGGATCGCCCCTCCGGTACCCGGCTCCTCTCTCACACAGCTAAACGAGGCTGCTGCTCAGGCTTCCAGGCGATAGCGTCCCTGTTCCTGAGACGCTGGCTGGTCCTCAGAGGCTTTTCATTCATGAAAACCTAGGCAGGCCAACCTGTCTTCAACCTGCTTTCCCGACACATCGGACCACTTCTCCCTGCCTCTGTGTGTCTTGCCGGGGACGGTCTGTGCTGCCGTCTGTCCAGGGAAACCAGTGTGTGACGGGAACCTGAATGAGCCCTGGGAGGATGGTAGCGCACACCTTCCCACTGCCTGACGCTGCCTGGAGAGGAGCAGTGGTCCTCAGCCGTCCTGAGAGTGGTGCAGGGGAGGAGAAGAGAAGGAGGCAATCTATGTGGATCACATCCTCAGGGATGCGCCCTGGACAGGAACAAAGGGATACCAAATAAACCAGCTCAATAGGAATTGTGGTAACTGTGGGTGCAAGTCTACATTTTATTCTGGTATCTACTTAATTTTATTCAAACATTTTAAACTCAGGTTGTTTTACAGCAAAATAAATAAATAAATAAACCAGTCCAATGAATAGTAAACACCTTACAAGCCCTTGACGTTAACTTTCTGCTCTTGATCAAAAGATATGCTTGTGTCGTATTCTTGAAGCTTTTCTGACATAACCTTTGCTAGATGAAAGCAAAGAGCTGGTCAGAGAGGAGGGGGCCTTGGTATTAATCAAATTCAAATGCATCGTTTGTAAACCCCAGATGTTTGCTCTGTGTCATTGTGGAAAATAGATTCTAATTCCAGCTCTGTGGGAAGGGAACAAAGACAAGGAGACTGTTCTGACAGTGTTTTGTTGGCTCAGTGAACATCTCAGGAGCAAGCTTCTTCCTGCTTTGCAAGTGAGCAAATCTACTTTACAAATCTTTTTCTCTCTCCTCTCTGTCTCTGTCTGTCTTTCCTTCTCTCTCAGTTCCACAGCTCAGTATCTAAGGACAGTCTAGAAGCTTGATTGTGATTACCTTGAAACTAGAAGGAGTCTCAAAAAAATCATTTAGTGTCCACAAAGGAAGGAAAAGGGTAGGTATTATAACATTTGGCAAGTGGTAGGAACACAGTCTAGCTTGGTGTCTCTAATCTGTATCTAGTAACTAATTAAACACTCATCATTTGGGTGGTATGGCTAGGTTTTTTTAATCAACTTTTTAAAATTGAGGTATACCATTCATACACTAAATGTACAATCTTAAGTATGTAACTTGAAGAAATTTTATGAAACTAACATATTTACATAAGGACCACTCAGATTAAGACATGGAACATTTCAGCACTGCCTCCCCAAACCTTTATGCTTCCTTTTATTTAGGCACCTTTTTTTTTCCCCCTTAACAACCACTATAAGCCTCCCTCATTCACCAACAATAATTAGAAACTCAGGCTAAAAATGAAAACTCAAGAAGCCATAGGCAATCCCAGAAGCAACACCTCACAGATTTCATCAGGGGTCTATGTTTACATTTCTGTGGGACAGAATTACTCCCACACTCTGACACATCCTTTATTTAGCCCTGTCCTCAAAGAAAAAGATACCTTTGAAAGCAGAGAGACTCTGAAAGAGGCTCCTATCTGTCCAGAGAGAGAAACAGCAGAGAAAGGAAGTGGATATGAAAGGAAGGGAGCGAAAGAAGGGGGACGTGCCAGCCCTGCCCTCACAAGGCCCCTCGGGGAGACTCTGTCCCCACCGGACCTTCACAGGGGTTTGCCTGAGGCCGCAGCCCCCACGGGTGGGAGGGACTCGTCATGAAAAGGATTCCAGCCCCTGCGTTCCAGTGTCACCACAGCCGGTCAGTCCCAACGCGAGCGACCAGGCGTGAGGATGGTAACTTCGCTTGTCCACTGGTAAAATGGGCTTCTTAGAACCAACCCCTCTGACCGCGAAGGGATGCTGTGAACGCAAACAAACACGCCCACACAAAACTGCTCTGGAAGCACTGCCTCTGCAGGGATGAAGCCTCAGTGACTTGGCACAGTTAGGTAGGGTGCAGCTGGCCGACACACTGGGGCATGGGCGCCCTGTCCAAAGTGCGTGTGTGTGGGGCAGGGGGGACACTTGGACACTTGCTGGTTGTGGAGAATGCAGATTCAAAGGGGCAATACTGTCTGATTTTTCAAGAGAAACCAGAAGCTCACTTTTTATGTGACATAATGAACTTATAAGAACTTGAGAGATACTGTGGGCCAAATAAAACACACTGGCAGGATAGGACCCACAGATCAACAGTTCCCAACCTCTGGTTGGTACGTACACATCTTCTGGGGCCAGGGCTGTAACCCTGCTCCCACACTGTGGCTCTCGAGGCCCATGCCTGTGCTGTGGACATACATTCCATGCTAAGAATGGCCAATGTAGCCCAATATTCCTGGTGTTGCTGTTGTTTTCTAAACAGATGATAGAACTGAGGTCCAGGAAGGAAAGGTGATTTTTGCCAAGGCCAAGACCATGAGAGCAGCGAGTGCCCCCCTCTCCTATTCCGAGTACTCCGCTGCCCACCCCCCTCTCCCTGCAGGGAGAAGACACAGTCAGGAGACAAGAGAACAGGCAGTGAGCAGGAGGCTGGGCCTCATCTCACGGAGCTGGGGACTCTGCCCACCCTAAATGGCTCCCTTGGCCCAGAAGCCCAAGGCTCTCCACTGGCGGGGGCCTTGGGAGGTGCCTGGGAGGATGCCCGTTCCTTACCTGCACATCCAGGTTCTTGCGCGAGGAGGCAGGCGTGTTGGCATAGGAGCTGATGGAGGAGCTGGTGTTGATGTCATCCGTGCTGAGGTTGTCTATGGTGTCACTGATCCCGCTGCTGACGGAGCTGCTGTCATCCCAGCTGCCAAGACAAACACACCCTGAGCACGTCACGCCGCACCAGCTCAGCCTGACGACACAGACAGACGCGTACCATCCCCGAAGGCTCCTGGTGCACAAAGCCCCAGACAAAGCACCTTTGCCTCTAACGTGACTCATCTTCAAGGGGGACATCCAACTGTTTCCGTCTGGCAGCTGGGGAAGTGGTTGATAGGTGTCTTCCCCTAAAAGGTGGTGCTTTCCTGAGCAGAGCTGACTAAACACATACACACTACCTACCCCATCCTCAACATCACCTGGGGAGCTTTCAAAAGCCAAGGGCTACCTCCAGAGACAGAGGAGGAGCAGGGGGCTTGGGGACTGGAGCAGAAAGTGGGCAGAGAATGAATCATCCGGAGTGTCCTCCCTGCGACTCGGAGAGGGAAGAGCTGCTGTAGGAATTCTCTGGACCCACTCCCGGCACAGAAAGCCAAGAGAAGGGAAGTGCAAAAATCAGCAGAACCCACCAACTCTACTGGCAGTTCTAATAACTGGAGAAGGGAATGGCAATCCACTCCAGTATTCTTGCCTGAAGAATCCCATGGGCAGAGAAGCCTGGGGGGCTATAGTCCGTGGGGTCGCAGAGTCGGACATGACTGAGCAGCTAACACAACACACACAACTCTAATAATATCTCAAGATGCATCAAAAATTTCTTCCTTCATTTCTGCATCCTTCATTTCTCAATCCTCAAATCCATCAAGACCCTCATCCCCCACCAATCAAGTCAAATCTCCAAGCAATGGTTCTTCTTTTTCCTTCTACCATCTCCTGCTTCCCAATGCCAAGACATTCGGGCTGCCCCGGTCCCCCTGCCTCTCTTGCAGAGTCTCTCCCAGTGTTCACGGCTCTCCCCGCCCCTGCGCCCTGAGGTTCTGGCTGCTTCTGCCCTGCCTGGGGACTGCCAACAGGCCAGCTGGGTTCCGGGCTCCTCTTCTGGTCCCCAACCATCTAGTCTCCCCACAGCAGCCAGAACGGTCTCTGGGAAACACAAGTCAGATCTACTGCGCTGCTGCTTCAAATCTCTCAGGGCTTCTCAGGCAGGACTCCTTACTCTGGGCCTCAAGACCCTGTGACCCAGCCCCTCCAGTCAATCCTGCATGGCCGCCAGGCTTTATCGCTCACCAGCTCTGGGTTTCCGCCTTCAAGGCTTCGCATTGACCGTACCTCTTCCTGGACACCCGTGCCCCCTCCTCATCTGAAGAGTCGCCTCCCCAGAAAGGCCTTCCCTGGTCCCTCTATCCGCAGCGCCCCCTCCTCCCACCCTCTCCCAATCCCTGGCATCAAGCCTGGCTGCAGGGTGGTGGATACACAGCAGGTGCTCAATAAATACCTGCTGATTTAGACACACAGAGTGGGAAGCTGAGGAACCTATAAAGTAAGCTTCCAGCCTAAACTGTGACGATCCTCTACTTGACAGAGAGGGAGTAAGTATTAACCATGTTTCCAGGGTACACGTAGAGAAACCAAGGCTGAGAAAGCTATGACACCTCACCCAAGGTCAGACAGCAAGACGGGCAGGACCTGAATCCAGCTGCCCCGACTCCAGATGCACCTTCTTTCCGGTGATGACACACAGCTCTCTATTACGTCCATTTTCAGTGCACACGGGCATACGACACGGCCCACTTCCCCAGGAGGAAGCCCAGGCTCGGCAGGCTGGTGGGTCACGGAGCAGGAGGGGCAGGGCCAATACCTATGTCCGGGGCTGTGTGATGACAAAGTGTTGACTTCACCACATTTCTCCACCACTCAGCCCTCCACAGGGAGCCATCCCTCACCAAAAGGCCCGCACAGTGGCACTCTGCCGCCCCAGAATGCCAGTGTCAGAACAACTCCACTCCTGCGTATACATCCAGAAAAACAAACATAGTACTTTGAAAAGATACATGCATCCCAATAAGGCTGCATTATTTATAACTGTCAAGATATGGAAGCAACCTAAGTGTCCATCAACAGATCAATGGATAAAGAAGATGTGGTATATATATATATACACACACACACACAAGGGAATATTACTCAGCAATAAAAAAGAATGAAAATTTGCAATTTGCAACAACATGGATGGGCTTGGAGGGCATTATGTTTAGTGAAATAAGTCAGAGAAAGACAAATAATATATAATATCTCTTACATGTGGAATCTAACAAAATACAGTAAAGTGCTGAATGTAACAAAACAGGAACAGACTCACAGAACAAATGAGTGGTCAACAGTGAGGAGAGTGAGTAGGAGAAGGCACACGATGGGGGTGGGGGATTAAGAGGTACAAACAATGGATAAAATACATAAACTACAAGGATATATTGTACAGCATAGGGAATACAGCCAACATTGTATAATAACTATAAATGGAGTATAATCTTTAAAAACTGTGGCATACATTATATATATACGCATATATACACACATACACAAACAAAAAGAAATGCCCCTGTCTGAGATTCAGAAAGTCAGAAGCACCCCAAACCACCACTGCCAAGTAATGAAAAGGAAGTTCTAGTTTGTTCCACCAGCTCATAGGATGCCTGTCTGAGCTCTGCTGATCAGGCAGGAAGACGAAGCTTAGTGGAAACCTGTTTTCATCACCTTTCCCTTCAGCCCACCTGGAGGGTCCCACACAAGCTCAGGGGAAGCATGTGAAGGTGGTTCTCAAGCGGGGAGGATAAAGGGAGGCGGTGTGAGGGCTCAGGAGGAGGCTTACTAAGGATGAATTCACACGGAACTGCAGTTCCAGGTCTTAACCAACTTCCTGCCTGTGATTCCACTGGCTTGGCCCAGCCTCCATCCGGTTCCAAATCCTCCTTTAAGGCCTTCTCCAAATATTCTGGCCCACCATGACAATCCCCTCCTCTGAATTCACAGTCTTCCACATTTGGGTTCGTTCTGTACACCCTTGCAGTTTTCCAGTCGTTCTCTCTGTGACGGCCTGTCCTACTTTCCAAGCACCTGCAGGGACCTGCCTGGTGATAGTAAGCAGTGCATCTCGTGTGCCAGGCATCATGTCAGGTGCTTCCGATATGTCGTTTCTACCTCCACTCTGCACATCACACCTGCAAGGGACCCGTTCTCCTCCCCAGTTGACGGGTGAAGGGATCAAGGCTGAAAGGAGTATCTTGCCCAGTGCCCCGCTTCAGTCCACGTTGGAATTGGGTTTAAGGCAGAACTGCCTAATTTCAGAACATGTGCTCCCTCTGGCCTGCATCACCCAGCCATTCGTTGAGCACTGGCTACGTGCTCACTCTTCTGTACCTGCACGTACTCTCAGCCACGCTCCTATTCCCTCACAGGTGGCTCTGCTTGCTAATGAGGACACAGGCTTTGAGAGTGCTGTCCAGGGCTCTCAGCAAATGCAGGGCAGGGCTGGCCGGGAAACTCTCCCTGACCCCGCTGCCCACCCTCCCCACCGCCACCTCCAGGGCGGTGGTACAGCAGCAATGCCAGCCTCCCCACCCCCCAACTCCAGGCACACAGCGTGTGTTTACTGAACAAGTTCTGATGCAAAGGCAGCCCCAGCCGTGGACTCTGAGCCCGGTTCCCTCCCACCCTGTCCTCTGACATGTCACACAACCTCTGTGCCTCAGTTGCTTTACAGGTGACACGTGGATGTGGATGACATGACCTAGGCTGGCAATCGTGTAAGGCTCTGCTGGGAAAAGGGTGACATCACAGATGGAAAAAGACTCCGACCACTCTCATGATGAGAAGAAAATCCCGAGTCTTTAATTGCATCTGCTCTCCGGGGTTAGCCATTTAATGTATCTGAAAGCTCCTATAATCCAAGGATGAAGAAAGAAGACATGCAGAAGAGGAGCGTGGCTGGAGAGGAGGAAGGAGGGAAGTTAGTAACAGACGCCCACGAATCCAGGCTCCAGATTCTCTTGCTTTGAAATTGTACCCGCTCTTCCTCTGCGCCCTCCGAACACTGAGATACTGCTGCAGAGGGACACGCGGTGCTTCTCACACACATGATTCTTCCCACATCTGTGCACAGAGCATCATGGGGCCACCCTGAGTTGACAGGGGTCCTAGCAACTGAGTCAGCCCGGAAGGGGCAAATCAAGGATCTACCCCACAGAAAAGTGGGAGTGGGGAGACCGAGGAGGAGGATGAAGGAACAATGACACAAGAGAAATCCATGCTGAGCATGAGCTGCCTTGGGGTCCCCGGCGCTGTCTGTGCACCAGAAACAACAGCTGTCCCCGAGCTCAGAAAACTAGCCGTGTCTTCCTCACTTCTGGCTCTCTGGGGACACAGGTGAATCTCTCTACATATAAAATCATTTAGCTCTAACTTGTCCCTTCCCTAAAATTCAGGATATTCTAAATGGTCCTGGGCCACCAAGATCACTCCTTGGTTAGGGAGTTCCAAGAAGCATCCTAAGGGAAACTAGTCCCATAAGATGCTCTGTGATAACAACGTGGTCCCAGCAAGAGAATGTATGGTATGCTAGCCCCCTCTCAGAGATTCAAGTTGCCCATGAACTTCTTCTAAAGTGCTGGCATGATCTCTTTAACATTGCCTAAAAGAGCACTCCCCACATGGGAGATGTTGAGAATAACACACACTCTGGAAGAAAAGCAAAGGAAGCCTAAAGCTGCCGCTGGGCCCTTCATCCTTGGCTGCCTAAGAAGGCAGCTAGCAGGGAGGGAGGGAAGCAGAAGCAAGAGCAATGACATCACATGAGCTCCTGCATCCAGCCAGATCAGAAGTCAGAAGCCACCTCTGGGAGACCGAACAGTGAGATCTAATAAATTTCTTTCTTTTACTCAAAACTAGCTTGCTTATGCTTTTGTCACTTGGTACACTGGTGCTAACTAATGTGGGATTGCAATTTGTTTGTAAAATGACTCCAGACATGTGGCTGAGAGTCAGATGGGAAAAATGTGGAAAGCATGCAGAATTCATTCAGGCAGTAAGAACATTAGTTGAATCCAATCAAGTGGCAAAGGAAATTAGGTACAACGTGGGACGGGGTAT